TTCTGTTGTGCTCAGATTACATATTAAGGGCACGTTGACTGAAATAGTCCTGTAGGTAGGCAGAGGAATAAGGCGGCTATCACTTTCTGCTTATGATGATAAAATATTGTGTCTTTTCAGCATTGTGGATGTCAAGGGCACAATGACGGAGCATAGTGGAGATACATTTTGACCTATGGCCAATGTCATCCGACAGACTTTTTGTAAGTAGCCCCTGACCTGACTGTATTGTAACTTTTTTAAACTCTTTACCGACTTTATGTTACCGCATGAACTCATAAATGTCTAGTTCTGATCACCTGGTTTGTTTCAATGCATATTTTAAACAGCACATACATTTCTTTGTCCAACAATCATACACATCCTTTCATATGCAGTGTAGTCAGTTATTTGTTTGTGTGTTTTTGGAGTCGTTCTTTGTACTGTCACGTGCTCCACGGATTACATTTTAATTGTTCAGGGTCTAAATCTTATAAACCACTTTGTAATTATTAAGAGAACTTTAAGGAAGTTTGTGTGAGTACACTGATGTAACTGTTAACCAGAGAAAAGATCACATGGCTAAATGTCTTCTTCACCACAGAGGTCAAAAGGCTTCACAGTTGTCATTAAAGCAAGTTGAAGTGCAAAAAAACCTCCCAAGCAAATATAGAAGTAAAGTACAGTTTTACAAACCAGATTCTTTAGGAGAAAGGTTTAAGGTGGAGCAGATATATTTCATTCTTAAAGAGATTTCCTTTCATTTTAGTGATGTCCTGGTCCATTTTTTAATGGTTCATATTTTAAGGTCAATATTTTTATACCTTTTTTTCATCTATTTGTGGCACATTTGTAAGCTTTCTACAGTATGTGCAGCACCTGTTGATGTTTAATTATATTTTCCTTTTGGAGATCTTGTACTTTTGTAAATTTTCTGTTTTTCCCCCATGCAGGCCTGAGGGTATGTTGAGACGTCTGTCCAGACCAGAGCAGAGGTGTCTAGGTGGTTCGGACGGGGACTGAAGGAGAGGTGGACAGAGAGACGGGGGACCAGGGCGGGCGACATGGGCCAGTGTGTCACCAAGTGTAAGAATCCAACGTCCTCACTCGGCAGTAAGAGTGGAGACAAGGAGAGCAGCTCAAAGTCCCATCACAAGAAAGGCAGCAGCAGCAGTGCAGGCCACAAAGAAGAAAGCAGCGTCCCGTGTAGCAAAACCACCAGCGAGTTGTCGAATGGCACCAAGGCCCTGGAGGTCACAGTAGAGACGCCCATTATTCCCACAGTGATGGGGGAACCGCGCAAGGATGAGTTCATCGAGGGGGAGAAGTTGTCCGTTAAGCGAATCGAGGAACTCTACTGCTGCTACAAGGACGAACAGGAGGACGCCATCTTGGAGGAAGGCATGGAGAAGTTCTGCAACGACCTGTGCGTGGACCCAGCAGAGTTCCGTGTGCTTGTTCTGGCCTGGAAGTTCCAAGCAGCCACCATGTGCAAGTTTACAAGGTAAAGGGTTTTAGCTCTGCCTTAGCCACACTCTGACACCAGCAGGACAAGCTTGATGTTCTGATTCAACGAAAACTCATTTCAAGACTAATATTTTAGAATTCTATCTTACTTAAAATGTCTTGCTGAGATAGAATCATGTTCTGTACCACTGATAAGTAATGAATATCCAGGAGTTTTCTCAGTGTTATTGTGGTGATGATCAGAACTCGACATAAGGAGAAAACACAGATAAATAGAAGTAGAAATACTGTGTGTGTTTAAATACACACTTGCAAAGTATTTGGAGCCGTTTAGCAAGTGTGTTGTTTTTTTAACCTTATCCCCCTCCACTCCCCAAAGCGTGTAAACTCAGCACTTTTTCATCCAGAGGCTTTGGACAATACCACACTGTGGTTACCAACATTGTTCATTGTCAACTGACACACACTGAAGGACTTTTATCTGACGCCTGTCTCTATTGTTGCTCTCTTTAAACAGGTTCGATGTTTATCTGCTCATGTTCATGCTCAACAGAAACAAACACCATTAACGTGCTTCTATAATATGACTGAAACTACGAGGGACAGTGTGACTTTTCACTTCTGTATAGACACAGACAAACACACACACATCCTGTTGTTTAGCTAGGATGATGTCATAGTAAGGCATTGTTCTGAACCAATCCTACCAACACCATGTAACGGGAAGGTTTAAATATAACACTTAAGCCGTGAATTTTATTTTGTCCGATCACCTTAAAAGAGCCGGTCTCAAGTCAGTGTAACCGCCTGGTTTTGTCGTCTTTTGTTCTCACCAGGAAAGAGTTTGTGGAGGGCTGTAAGGCCATCCAGGCCGACAGCCTCAAAGGCATCTGCTCACGTTTCCCCTGCATGCTGCTGGAGGCCCAGGGTGAGGAGAACTTCAAGGACCTGTACCGCTTCACCTTCCAGTTTGGCCTGGACGCGGAAGAAGGACAGCGCTCTCTTCAGCGGGACATCGCCATCGCCCTGTGGCGCCTGGTTTTCACTCAGGACACGCCCGCAATCCTGGAGCACTGGCTGGACTTCCTGTCAGAAAACCCCTCAGGTATCCGGGGCATTTCCAGAGACACGTGGAATATGTTCCTGAACTTCACCCAGGCCATCGGGCCCGATCTGAGCAACTACAGCGAGGACGAGGCGTGGCCCAGCCTCTTCGACACCTTCGTGGAGTGGGAGTTGGAGCGCAGAAAAAAAGAGGAAGAAAAGGCATTGACAATGGCGAAGGAGGCGGAGGAGGAGGAGAGGTGCACAGACACAGAGTGTTCTCCTACAACAGACAGACTTGAAATGGAGGGAAGCCGCGGCTCACAGACATGGGGGGGCCACTGACCAGGAAACACAAATTATTTGTAAGGGAGAGAAGAGAATAAACCTATAAGTGAACTGTACATCTGTGAATCATGGGATAAATATTAGTATTACATTTTACAGACTCACTTTGCTCTCCTCTTCTGCTGGGGTGGGATTCCGGCTTTGAATCATTTATTTGTCTGGTTTTTGAAAGGGCTCAATGAACTGTCATGTTTTAAGCACTTCTATTTAACTTATTGTTTTATTTTCTCTTCTTTGTGTGTTTGTTTTTTAAGTAAAATGGACACAATGAAATTTAACCCTATAATCAAGCTACCTTGATTTTTTTTGCTTTTTAAAAAGCAGGCGACAAAAAGCCATAACTCTTCCACACAATTATCATCTTGATTTGTCATGCTGACCTGGACGCACTGTTCTGTACATGAAATAAAGAAAAAGGGAAATTAGGTATTAGTGAGTATTGCTACCAAAATATGAAATTGTCAAAGGTGGAGCGATGTGGTCTGGTCAAAGGCTTTTTAACTGGTGTTGATGTAAGAATGACTTGGTTGAACTCTAATGCCTTCAACAGCTGTTTGTCCTGGCAGACAGTTGAAGATTACAATTAAAATAGTCATAAGAAAGTTACATCTGTATCCTAATACATACAAAGTTAATATATACAGTATCCATCTTTAAACCCTAATGAATTCCAATAACTATCTTTTGTTTTTGAGTGTGGATAGTAACAGTGAGTGGCTCGGTTTCGAAGCAGCTGCCTTTGTTTCTGTTTGACCTCTAGCATTTTTTTTCATTTTGACGTCCTCTGATTTTCAAACAGCTGTTAACTGTCCACCACACAGATGCTGGCTTAGATCATAGAAGTTGTTTGAGGATGTATGTACAAATGGGCAAAAAGCTTGGTCAGGTCATTTCTGGACAGAAGCTGCGTGAAACCCTGCGTTACATTCAGGACCATTACACTAGGCACAGAAAAAAAGCTTGTATTGTTTACTGTTGGAGTTCAAGCCTGTTCACATCCTTGAACTCTTGTTTTGAAAAACATAAGTGTGCACACTTGACAAGTAATGTTGACTACTGCTGATGATGGTTATCATGGATTGCACAAAAAAACCAATGGCATGCTAAGTCGCTATACTTGCAACATTTTGCAGAGAGATTGATGTCAACTGCATCATTTCCATTTAGGAAATTTCCACACTGTAGATTGAGCTTTAGTTTAGCCTGGAGTGTTTTGGAATGAGTGAATGTGTACTAACTTGACATGCTAATTAAAAGTCTGCAATATGGGTCCAGTGTGGTAAAGGAGGGTTACCATAACCCCATCTGTTTGGTTTACAACTACAATGGTTTTATTTCAGATTCCCGTATCCTTTTTTATATAAAATGTATTGATTTATAATAATAAAACAGTGTTGAACTTTTGACTTTGGTCAGTCTTTTTTGAATGTTCCATCCAGTAATGTATCGCCTGTGCTGGGCCTCTTGGTGTTACACCAGCCATCTTCATGTTGTCCTTCATCTTTACAAACAAGCAAAGACTCCCATTTATTACACTTTATACTGTATCTGTATCTGTAGCCTTTTCCAGGTGCACAAAGACAGACCGTTAATTATTTGAGTGAACCTGATTGTGGTACATGCATGATCTGACAGTCTTGGAGAAATACTGTATTGTGTTTCTGACTGCACCAAGCACACAAATGATGGCCACATCTGATACCATTGTGTAGTCTGTTATTGGTATCGTTTATGACACTGGTTGGCAAATATGACACATTACAACAATAACAAAGCACTTTGTAGTCTGGCTGGTGCTTAGCTTGGCCTTAAATAGTCTCTCCCATATCTACATTGTTGTTCCCCCTGTTTTTGGAAACCTGCACAGAAACACTCCATTCATAAGGCATCCTCTCACTCTCAAAGAATGTCATGTTAAGCTTTTGCTAAACAAGCCAGAGCTCAGAAAGAGGTGTGTGTGTGTGATTGTGTGGTATGCCCAAGGTGCTTTCCAGTTGTACGTTTGAAGTTTATGTCCTTATTAATAAATGTTTTGTGTCAAACAAAAAATGTATTCTGAAAAAAAGGAATGCAATTGTATTCCCTGAGGTTCTGCTAAAAGATAAATCAATCCTGGTAGCTCAGATTCTTTGTTGTGGTGTAATGGCAGGTGTCTGTCATTTGAGTTGCTTTACTGCCACCTACTGTTTATTGTTGCTGTATATACTGTAAGGTATTTCTAACCTAAAAAGTTTAACTGCAACTGCAGAGAAATGGAAGATGTGGAGAAAACAGACATAGGACTACTGTATATAGTATAAACCCATTTAAACTACTTTCAATGCGTTGTTTATATTTTTTAATTATTTGTAATACTTTAAGATAAGACATTATTCAATGACATCATTGGCATACCACAGTCTTCAGCACTCCAGAGGGAGTGTACCTGTGAAAACCAGCAGCTCCAGGCCCTGTGCAGACTTGTATGGATCTGGCTTGCAGCCGGAAGCTGTGGGCGTGTTTAACTCGGATGAGACTCGTTCCTATTGGTGGACGACTATCCTGGTTACCAACCAACACAGCACGCTGTTCACATGAGAAAACAGAAAAGTCGTTCGTTTTAAATCCAAACTATAACATTTCTAATTTACAGATACAGTAAGTATTATTTTACATTTCACTCTAGATTACTGCAATGATTTGGGTATATGTAGTCATGTTTAGAGGTATTTTACGTGCTAAATGTTTAGCCTTTTAGTTTGTTGTTAGCACAGCCGCGTCTTTAGCGTCAACCCTGGCTGGGCTGAACAGCTGTGTTTTCTTAGCACTATTCAGGAGACGATTTATGTAATGAACAGCTAACGCATGAAGACCATGAAAAACAAAAAAGCAATTTTTACTCTCTGTCATCAATGTCGCTTGAGGCTAACCATACAGCTACGAATGTGATTCAAATGAATTAGTCTCGAGCGTCATCATACGTACTGTATATACAATGCAGGGTCAGTTTTACACTGACCGGTCACTACATTGGGTATATCGTACTATTACTGGATAGGATATCATCAGAATTGTTTTAATTCGTAATGACATAAATCGATCAAGATCTTTGAGACACTCGTTAGAGATGGCAGTCAATATGAACCATCGCACAGATGCTAAATATATATGCCCCACCTTGGTACATTAGATGTGTTTGTGGTTGAAGTCAGACTCTCAACGTACCATCTGAATGTTCCAACAGAAATGCCTTACAGCAAGAAGGTTACTAGTTCGATTCTCTCTCCAAGTTGACCATTTGACTTTACGTTTTACCTTTCACCTCTCCAATTTTGTTATCTTTTTGAAGAACAATCTCTCCTCTACAAGATGGGATAGGATTGTTGTGAGGCGGTGTCATCTGCTGCCACACCATGGATAAGGAGGTAAACAGAGCCCTCAGTTTTTCTACAGTTGGTTTCACAGTTCTCTGTCATTTTATTCAAAAAACTGTCTTTCTTTTCTTCCTTTTTTTTACTGCAGCTGTCACCTTGTTTTTAACAATTACTCTTCCGTTCTTCTTCTCAAATGACTCCTCCGCTCCTCTCCTGCTCCTGACACTGACAGATGCTGTAGTTGACTTGTAGACACTCAGTAAGAGCTTTGTGATTTTTTTGCTCGTCTTGCATGGTGACCTCTTCATTGTAGGTTAGCACGAACTGTCGGTGAACCATGCTGTGATGTGTTTTACAGCCACATGTGTCTTATCAACTTGTCAATGTTTGTGCATAAATACTAAAAATGTGAAAGATTAAAGCAGGTAGATGTGTAGCTTATCTAATGTGCATGTTCCAAGAGAGCAAGAGAAGAAAGCGATAGTTAGCATTATAGATTCTGGACATGTCATGTCAATGCCACTGTCTCTGAAAAGGCTGCACTTCATGTATTATGTAAAGGGACATTGTTGGAAGATGTAACTGTTGTTGTTCCGTCTACTGTGTATCTAGGGTAGGGTAGGATATTGGATTAGACCAGGCTTGGTGTCATAAAGCCACCAGAATTATTGCTCTGTGGTCACAGCCCAGATCTGAGTTTGTGTTATGCTAATGTCTTTGACTAGACATTCTAGTGTCATCTGAGTGGCTTTAGATCTTTAACTACATCCATGACCTTCTTTTGCTTAAAGGATTATTGTATCAAATTCTAGAGTATGATCATTTCATGCTTTTTTCTGGGAAATGTCTTTGCAAAAAAAAAAGAAGGAAGACGTTATGTAGCACTTAGTTTAGAATGGTCAGTTAATGAGTCCGAGACTGGGCATGTGCTGTATTGATGTTGTACTGATGGCAGGTTGTTTGTACACTTTTATATGATGTTGTTCTCTGTGACTGAGGATACATGTGACTCCATAACAACAGATGTGGGCTGGTCCTGACTCAGTTTGTCTCTCCCTCCGTGTGTCGGTGTGTGTTTCTTCCCACTCTGAAGGAGAACAGGGCGTGTCAAGGAGAGAAGCCCGTCCCCACTGTGGATGACACTCTGGATGAATACTTAATCGACCTACAGCAGAAGAACAGGTGAAGTGTGAGCACAGACACAGATTGGGTTTCACCCAGGTTGTTCATGACTTTTTTGCTCACACTCGGAGCACTGATTGGTCATTTGCCCTTTTTTTCTTTTCTCTAGGATCATAAAGCGCCTTAAAGTCAAAGATCCCAGGCAGATTGAGTTGGAAAGGTTAGAGCAAGGTTTCTCCATTTATCTGAATGGAGCCAACGCTGAAGTGAGCAGGAAGCAGCACAGAAGCAACAACCCTGGGTTCCACACGCCTGTTTGGAGAGCTGCACATACAGCAGGTTGGTTTGTCTGGTCTACAATAAACCCAGAGACATGTTGTCCTCGTCACTGCTGATTGTTTGCAAACCATCTTAAAACACAGTCTGTTTCTCAGTGACTAACTAGTATTGACAGTCATCACCACTGCTGGCAGACACTCAATGCTCTTCCCTCATTGTGCAGTGGACCATCTGTGTGTGCGTGTGTGTGTTTTCCTCTCCTCCGAGGCGGTAGTCAGTCTGTACTCACTCTGCTTGTTTTCCTCTCTGTGCTGACACATCAGCAGATGTCAGTAGAAGTGCCCACCAGTTAACTGAAGGGAGCTGGGATCTGGACCAAAGCCGCCAGAAGAGGAGCCACACTGCACCAGTCAAGGCCCAGAGGAAAGAATGGGTGCAGGTAGAGGCCTCGTGATGGTTAAGATCAGAAGATCACTAAATAAATCACAGGAAGTGCTTGTACTGAGCGTCTCTTTTTTTTATTTATCTAGAATTCTGTCAAAATCCGAACAGAGCAAGGACAAAAACTACTTCTATCTCCAAAAAATCTTTCCCCTGAAGATTTTGAGCTCTATGAGAGCATAGCCATGGAGGTACTGTAGTCATATCAACATCCATACCAGGCCTGCATGGATGTTAACTGGAGAGGGAGGGGCAGTGTGTCAGAGGCAGCTGTCTGAGCTCCTGAGCATGTCTCTGTATTTACTGTTCCAGAGCTCTAGTCTCCGCTCTCCTCGAAGTCCCCACTCCCCCAGAGACTTGTGCAAGGGGTCGCGATCCTTCAGCTCCAGCTCCAGGTCTGAGGGACGAGGAGGTCAAACAAGCCAAGAGTATAATGAGAAGGTTCTCCTCAACCTTGAGGAAGTGAAGGTGAGCACAGAAAAAAAAACTATGGCTGAGCTTTTTGACAATAATTTGTTAGTTTTACTATTTGTTTAGTTCTAACAATATTTAGCACTTTCTTTGTTAATGTTTATTAATTGACTTTGGACATTTTGAACAGCGATATAATCACTTAAATAATGTTTTCTGATCTAGGATATTATTAAAATTCATTTTTTAATCACTTACAAGTATTTCCTTACCTTTTTTTTTTTAAACTAGGTTCTGCGTCGGAGCTTGGAGGTCAGTATGCGACGAAGCGACCATGACTCTGCAGGAGAGGAGTCTGAAGAGGAGTGGATTGAGAAGCAGATTGAGAGAGAGGAGAGCACAGAGAGTCTGGACGAACTGGGAATGCCTCATACCTCCTCCAAGTCCTCCTCAAAACCCCCGACCACTGGAACGAAAAACAACTTTGACACAGCCAAACTCATCGTCTTGGACTTTGGACCCTCTCCTAAAGGTGGGCATCGGAATCCAGGTGGTTAGCATTATTTTTAGGGTTGGGTCTTTGTCCTCCAGTATTGGTTTATCTCCTTCATCAGAGCTTTTGTCTATTGTTTATTAATTAGGTTGCAAGATCGAGCGCTCGCTATCTGCCAAAAGAAAAGAGAACTCTGACTCCTTCATACCCATCAAGCCTATGTTGGTAAAAAGCAAAACTCTAGATCGGCCGCCTTCCATTGACAGCTGGGAGAGTCCCAGTGAGTATTTCAGTATTTTACTGCTGCTCTGTAGAGCAAGGTAACAACTTTTGGAATTTGGGATTCTTCTGAAAAGGTATTTTTCTTGATTTAGCATCAAGAAGTCGAGCAGAGAGGCCGCTGTCAACACCCAGGAAGTCGTCTGCTGAGCAGCGTGACCCTGAGCAGAAGGTGTGCAGCGTTCTCCAGGCCATCCAGAGAGAAAATGACCCTGTGAAAAGTCCTGAACTCTTCACTCGCAGCCAGGTGTGTGTTCCTTCTACATTTACAGATTTCAAGTCTCTTTAATGGGAATTTACAGCATTAGAGCCTGTGTTTATAAAACGGTCCATTTAATGTGTGTCTGTTTAAAAGTAGAAATGAATGTTTCTGTCCATTTTAACACTAAGAACTTTTGTTTGAGTTCAGATGACAATCAGTAAGAGACAGAATGGACCAAGATGCAGTAAAAAGATATAAAAATTATATAATGAAATTATTATAAACATTTGGAGGGAGTCCAAAAACACATAACGTAATGGGGCAGGTACCAAAGTTAAAAATACTGTTTCAAATTTAAATTAAGCAGCAATAAAAACACAGTTATTGCATATTTTTGAGTACACTTCAGCAGCAGTATTGCACCTTAAAAGGTATTTCACTAGCAGATGAAAATGGTTTGACTGTGTGTGCTTTGCTCCTCAGGTCTATTGTTGAACCAAAGATTCTCCTGTTTGTCTTATTGACAGAACAACAGAGTTGGAAAAATACAGTAGTGTTAAATATGTCAATAACTAATCCCATTCCTTCATGTGTTGTCGTCCAGGGCAGAGCACAGCAGATAAGAAATGGCTCTGTTCACCACAACACAACCCCTGACAACAATGAGAACAGTGTTACGTTGGCCATGCAGAGAATCACACTGATGGGCCCCGGGTATGTGGAAACATTCTAACTCCAGTGTTACTGTGCATACAGTCTGTTGTGAAGGGTAGAGGGACACCTGCTGGTGGTACTGTAATTCTGTGCAAGTCCTCTAACTCTGGATCTTCAATAACCTGTGCAGCTCTCACAGTGGTTGGCTGACCTTCACACCTGCAGTGAAGGTCAAGGTCAGCAGGTAGAGCTGTGGAGCTGAGGATGTCGTCCTTATTTACAGGCAACAACAGAAGCTGCTGACGGCATTAGAGAAACTTGAGGCTCCTCAGAGTGAGAAAACTGACTTTGACAAGCAGCTGGTGAGACACACACACACACACACCTCAGAACAAACAACCCAGATAGTGCTACAGCCATCAACTGGTCTTTGGTTCTGTTCCAGAGAAGACAGCCCTCAGCAGAGGTCACGCCAGCTCTTTATGTCACCATGGAGATCCTGTCCAACTGGGGCAGCGCTCTGCAGGTGGGGCTGACGGAGCTTCAGTTCTTCTGCAACAGGAACAAGAAGCTGTACGTGTCGCCTCATGACATAGACATCAGGAATGCTGACCATCCAGGGAATCTGAGTGTCCTTGTCAATGGAAAGATGAAGGTGAGTGAGTGAGTGCTGGGCTTTCAAATTCTGTAAAAAAATTCATCTGGAATTCTGTCTTATGTATAGAGTTAAAATGGTGACATGAGGGCTCCTAACTAATTAATTAATACAGTTCACTGAACTGAATTGTGCTTTTTATTCAGCTTTTTTTAATTTTATTAATTTAATTATTAAACAATATTCTCTAATAATTCATTAGATATATACATTTTGCAGAAATCGTTATGTTTATCGTTAGCTGTTAAAGTTTTAGAAACCTGTGTCACTGGTGCTGTTGTGTAAAGACCCCATTTTGTCTCTTGTCCCGGGCTCACAGACCACCAAAGTGCGTCACATGTGGACTTGTCCCTTCTACCCTCCCATCCAGCTCTACTTCATCATCAGAAACACAGAGCGCTCACCAGACTTTGGAATTTCCAGGATCAAAATCTGGAACTACAACAAAAGTCTTCACGTATGGAGTTCCTTTTTTTTTCTTTTGTTTCACCACTGCCACACATTTTCTCTGCGGTCGTCAAATCAGATTTACGTCTCTGTCCGTTTTATGGCTGCACTCTGGACATAAATCCTCCATCGTCTGTGTGTGCGTGTGCGTGTGTGTGTTGAAGAGATTAACCCAGTAGGATTAGGGAAACGTGGGCTTCTGTCACACAGTGTCACTGGTTGACAGAGAAGCAAAACTACACCGACTGATATCTGTCTGTAGATATCTGTCTGGAGATCAGAGTTGATCATAACTTCTGCCTGGACGTTGAGGGCGTGGTGGATGATGAAGCTTTGGTGTGTACAGTGTGTTCTTGTGCACATATTTCATTTTTGCTGCTTCCACTCAGTATTTGTGATTGTGCCATCCGTTGTTTTGAAAAATGATCTGTCCATTTGAAAACAGTTTTATTTCATTTCTGCTCTTTGTGTGAGTGACTGTGTGACTTTGCTTCGTTGTGTTTATTGTACTCATTAAGTCTCAGCTTTTCTGTCTTCACAGTCAACCCAAGTCATCAACTGTCAGTTCAAGGTTTGTTTGAGTTGTTGCTACATTTCTTTCCCAGGACCTTGACGTCGGTGCCCGTCACATTAAACTCTACCTGAACAGCACGCTGGTGTTTGAAGGCGAGCTGGACAAGGGCTGCGGTAACCAGGTGTTTGACTACAGCACCACCATCGATCTCAAGGACTTCCAGGCCTCAGACTCCTTGTTTTCCAGTCCTGTCTCTTCAGGACACAACCTGCGGGGCGTCAGCCCACAACGGCATGAAGACCGGACTGGTGCAGAGGTCAGCAGCTGCAGCAGTAGCCCCCAGATATACCGCAGTCTGAATCTGCAGACGTCGGATACAGCAATGGTTGACATGCAGGAGCAGACAAATGTACAGTTACCGCCGATCTCCTCTTCTCCCCTGGGGCTTTCCTCCCCCGCTCGTCGCCCTTCTTCACAGAGAAACTCCTTTGACCTGTCAACCTCCGAAGAGCCCCTGTGTCTCAGGCAGCAGGTGACACAGATGGTCACCACCCAGCCCTCCTCATCACGGGTGACACCGCAGTGGCTGCAGCCCATGAACAGAGGGGCTCCAGAGGGTTGTGAGACCTCCAGGGAGAGGCCGCTATGGCTGGTGCCCCAGCAGTCAACAGAACCGAAATCTCCCTCGTCCTCTTCCAATTCGATGCTCCCCGAGTTGCCCTGTAACCCAGGCCGGGTCTGCAGAGGGACGGAGGGGACGGCGAAAGGAGATCATTGGAATGCAAACGCTCTGGACCTGAGCTGTAACCTGCTGGAGGACTTCATGGAGCAAAGGTCAGACAGGCCCATCAGTGGACGCAGGAGCTCCTTCAGAAACAATGTAGTCACTCCCAGACAGACGGAGGAGCAACAACACAGAGCTGCAGCACTGCCAAACACAGGTATGCCATTCATTACAGCATGTGGTGATGTCATCAGGCCAAACTTCAGTATGCCATGCAGGTATTTTTGAAATAATTAAACAAAAAATGCAAACTTCTCTGCTGAAGTTGGTTTCATTCTTGACATAGTGTGACACAGCTGTTATTCAAAGAACCATGTCACAGTTCATAGTCATTTTGTTTGTCACACAACGCTCAGCAGGAGACACTTCTAAACCAGCTGTGACAATAAATAATAAGCATGTATATTAAATAACATTAACCCTGGTAAAAGTGGAGCATGTGAGCGAAACGCTAAGTGCTCAATTAGCCCAGCCCTCACTCACTAAGTCGTTTGTCCTTTCTGCTGCCTTGCTCAAAGTCTGACCAGGGAGCTGAGGTCAAGGTTGTAGCCTGTTCTTGAACTTTATCTTGTCAATCACTCGACCCTTTGACCTGGGATCCTCAGTCTAGCCTTAAATGGCATAGTGAAAAAGGTCATATTTGTGTATTTTTCAGAGGAGCCGCTGTCGTTGGTGAGCAGCACCAGGAGGCAGAACTCCTCCTGGTCACAGCTGCACTGTCAGCAGGACGACTCCCTCAGGGAGTCTTGGGACTCACTCATCAAGTTCAACCAGAGTCAGCGTGGACGCATCTCCAACATGGGCTTTGAGGGCGACATCTTTGACGAGTTCATGCAGTGTCAAGGCCGCGGTCCACCCACGCTTCCAGTCAACCCACCCACGGCTCCCAGGAGCCCTCTTTCCGCTCTGAACACTCAGGGACATTTGGGTGATGGCCCTGATGACGAGCCGTCTATGGAGCAGGAGGAGGAGTTTGAAATCCCTGTGCTGCCGCAAGGACAAAGGCTGGTCATCAACATCCTGACCACCTGGGGGGACCGACACTACGTGGGACTGAACGGCCTGGAGGTCTTCAGCTCCACAGGAGAACCTCTGCGACCCACACACATTCGCGCCGATCCTCCGGACATCAACATCCTCCCTGCGTATGGCAAAGATCCTCGCGTGGTCACCAACCTGATAGACGGCGTCAACCGTACACAGGATGACATGCATCTCTGGCTAGCGCCCTTCACCTCCAGTCGGAACCACACCATCTTCCTGGATTTTGGAGCTCCCTATCAAGTGGCCATGATCCGTGTGTGGAACTACAACAAGTCACGCATCCATTCTTTCCGAGGCGTGAAGGAGGTGGAGATGCTTTTGGACGGAAGGTGCATCTTCAGAGGAGAGATTGCCAAAGCTTCAGGAACATTATCTGGAGGTATCAGAGCGAAACAACATTGGTTCTTCAAACTGCCTGTGTGTTCATTTTTTTCCCCCTCACACGGCCGTCTTTTTTCCAGGACTAGATCAGTTCGGAGACACCATCCTGTTCACCACCGATGACGTCATCCTGGAGGCCATGTCTCGTTACGATGAGACCTTCCTGAGTGAAAGTGATGCTGGAGACAGTCAGGTGTATGAGGAGGAGCTGCAGAGACCACGCACCGCTGATGGAGAGGGAGAGGAGAGACCCTTCACCCAGGCTGGGTTCAGGGAGGAGGACATCGCTGTGAGTACAGAGTCTAAGACCTTTGACCTTTGGTTATCACCTGGATGGAACAGGAACTAAAATCCTTTTTTTTTTAAGTTAAAACTTCACCTCAACCCCATGTTGAGCCAGTCTGAGGAGAGCGTGGAACATATTCCTGGCATGTACACAGGAAAGTGTGAGTATACTGACTTTTTTTCTTTGCACTTTATGCTTTTCTCTTTTTCTAGTTTCAATGTCTCCATTAAACAAAGTTGATTTTCCATTTCCCAGTTTTGAGAATAGAGCTGTCAATGACCTGGGGTGACTCTCACTATCTGGGTCTGACTGGACTGGAGGTGGTGGGTAAAGATGGAGACAGCGTACCTTTAGACGTCAGTATGATGGCTGCGTCCCCCAGGGACCTCAACGACCTGCCTGAGTATGAAAACGACCTGCGCACTCTTGACAAGTAGGTCTCATATACTGTACACTCACATGTACACAGGAAATACTACGTGGTCCATATGACATTCATCAATCGACAACTGTCTTCCTTGTCCAGGGTCATTGATGGTCATAACATAACCACTGACGACCTGCACATGTGGCTGATTCCTTTCACCCATGGAGAGGCCCACACTCTGAACATCACCTTCAATAAGACCCAGACCATCGCCGGACTTCGTATCTGGAACTACAACAAGTCTCCTGAGGATTCCTACAGAGGGGTGAGATGCTGTGATGGACTTTTTAAAATTTAGTTAGAAAGAGAATGTTCCTACAAAACAGTCACAGTCCTCAAAGGGTTGTCATTATTAATAAAAATGCGAAAATAATTCTGAGGTTTGAGGAGAAGATTTGAGTTTCTGAAATGTGGATCCATTCAGGTGAAGCTGATCCATTTGTTCCTGGACGACGTGGCCATCTCACCAACGGACGGGTTCCTGATCAGAAAAGGTCCTGGAAACTGTCACTTTGACTTTGCACAGGAGATTCTCTTCGTGGATTACCTTCAGACGCCCATGTACAACAGGATCACCGACGACTGCCACAAGTAGGAGCTGTGGCGTCATGTTTTGAGAGAAGAGTCTTTGAGTTTGACCTCTCTGTTCATTGATGATTTTATTTTCTTCAGTTTCAGAGGAAACTCCAAGAAGCTGGAGGAGGCCAGTATGGACTACGAAGCTCCTCTCATGCCTTGTGGATGTATCTTTTTTTATATTTAAAACACCACCTATCAACCATGTAGTCATTTGGATTCTTTTATATTCTGTTATATGGCAGCACATGTCTGCTGGTGGTTTGTATTGGATGGCAGACATGAGCATGAGAAAACACCCTTACATTTCCAAAATAAAATATCGTAATTAAAAAACCAAACACTTTGCTTCTTAACCTCAACACATCAGTCATTTTCCAGCTGCAGCTCTTTACGACCTGGGGCGACCCGTACTACATCGGACTGAACGGCCTGGAGTTTTACGACCAGAACCAGGAGAGGATCAGCCTCAGTGACAACAGTATCCTTCCTCTCTTCCTGTGACTTTCCTTTTCCAGTCCTCCAAAAACTCTGCTGTTAGAATTTGTGAATGCAGTTTTTTGTCAATTGATTAAGAATAAGCACTGAAATTGAACATTTAAGAAGTAGAACGTTTTCTGGCGTTCACCTGAAGCTTACAGGTGAGCCTCAGAAAAGTTTATTTATTTTTCCCGTATGAATGAGTTGGTGTTCTTTATCATCCTTAAATCTGCGTCCTCCAGACATTGCTGCTTTCCCAGACAGTGTGAATGTACTGGACAATGTGAGCGGTGACGTTAGGACGCCAGACAAATTAATAGACCAAGTCAACAGCACCCAGGATGGAAGACACATGTGGTTGGCACCAGTTCTGCCTGGACTGGCGAGGAACTGTGTGTGTGTGTGTGTGTGTTTGTATGACATCATCTGTTAGAACACTGTTCAGCGTTGGCAGTGATCTTTTGGTTTTTACTTTCACTGTAGGTAAATCGAGTGTACGTCATCTTTGATCAGCCAATGACAGTGTCCATGATCAAACTGTGGAACTACTCAAAGACTCCACAGAGGGGAGTCAAGGAGTTTGGGGTGAGCAGCTAAGGAAAGAAACTAATAACTGACTTATAAAAAAATCAAACTAGAGAGATTATAATAGGGTGTCTATTTCCTGTATTTTTTTTTCTTTAGGACATGCATAAATATTTTTCTAAACCAGTGTTTATTATGTCTAAATAGTAGACAGTTAAGCAGTAAAGTCTGAATGTCGCTTGTGTCCAGCTGCTGGTAGATGATCTCCTGGTCTATAATGGCATCTTGGACTGTGTGAGCCTGGTGTCCAGAGGCATCCTGCCCACCTGTGACCCAGTCATTCCCTACCACACCATCCTCTTCACAGACAACGCTTACATCGTTCACCGGGAGAGGAACACGGTACTCAGGTACTCACAAAAAACTCATACTATTGTACACCCAGTTTTGGCCTCAAAACTCCACTGAACTTCATTAACTAAATTGTTAATTCTTACAAATCTCTTGTTCTCATCAAACAAAGGAAAGAAAATCACAAATCAGTACAGTTCCCCCTCTAAAGAATATTTGAATCCTTTTGCCCCTGCAATAACACTCTGCAGAAGTGAGGTCATGTAGTGTCATGTCAGGAGACAGAAGATATAATAATTTTGAACAAGGATTTGCTCCTCTTCACTTCAGCCCCCTTGGCAGCCAACTCCACCCACAGTGAGTAGCACAGTTCCTTATAAGGTGTTAGCGCCTCCCAGTGGTCGATATTTGTACTGAAGCCTGTCCTCAGGTGTCCTCCAGCCATCCATCATCCTCCTCAACACTTGCTTGACTGCTGTTACTCCAGTTTCGTCTCCTTGACTCTGTCCTCTCTTGACCATTGTGTCCTCCGCCTGTGCTGTCAAACCTGCTCTGTCATCAGTCGGAGTCCCTCAGGGTCAGGTCCTTCTAAAAGCGTCTGTTGTGTTTTCCTCTCTCTGTCCTCTCACAGTAATTGTGTAGAAGACCAAGACGTGCAGATGATCAACGAGAACCAGATTGTTCGCCACAATAAGAAGAAGCAGACGGCAGATCCAGGTGAGTGGCTGGATCCTCCTGCACTTGAAGTCAGTGCTAAAATCTCAACATTTAAAAATTAACAAAAAAGCTTTTTGTCGTTGCCTGCAGCTCTGCGACCCAAGACCTGCATTACTGATGGTGGGAAACATGGAGCGAGGAGATACTGACTGAACCATGAGGATACATTTCTGAGTGATGTAGTTGAGGACCTAAACCAGCCAAACAGAAGACTACGCACAGTGGTTTTTCACACACACAAAATGCACATTACAGGTGTGTCACAATTTTATAACTAGCTGTGAACAAACTCACGCACACACAAAACTGTTGTCTCTAAAACACCGTACTGTGCCAGGGCTGACCCTGTGAGGCTGCGTTTCATTAGCCCCAGTTATGGTGCCTCGTACTCAACACTACATTATCTGTGGCTGCTGCCTGTGACTGTTGTGCTGCATATTTTAATCGCGCTTGTAAAATTGTTCAACTATTAAAAAGTGCTTTAAGGCCACGACCGTGCTGTGACTTCAGGACACCACGGAAGTTGTTTGACCTTTGTCCAGTTGACACTACAATCAGTGCACAAACCAACAAAGCTATGCAGACTCTGATTTATAGTTATACCTGTTAGAAAGTGCATTTTAAATTTACGGTTGGGAAATGACTGAGTGACAGTTTCTATTGATGGATGAAGCAGTTGTCCAGCATCACGATTGACAGAGTCATCAGCATCAGTGAGGGAAATAATCTTGCTTTACAAGTGACCTTTATTGAAGTTGCTATAGTAACGATAAGACTTTAAAGTCGATAAAGGGCTGTTTTTGCTCACGTCACTGTCCTGAACACAGGTCACTGTTTAAAAACAAGAAGACTTGGTTGTCCCAGCGGTTTTTGTTTTCTTATGATTTAACCCCATCTGAAAAATGGCACCATCTAGTAGGTAGCCCATGTTTCTCTGTCCTGAAAATACGGGCTTGTTCAACAAAACAGGTCTGTCCCACGGGCAGAACTCTGTAGACTCTGGAGTCTAGAAAGGTGGAAGCTGTGAAGACTGCAACGTGATTGAGTTGAAGGCAACTTCTTGTATGCAAACCACTATAAACTTACCTCAATTGAGAAGCATCAACTTTTAAAAAGGGACAAACGTGGCCTAACTTTCACTGTAGTACTTAGTGTTGTGATGTTTATTCAATATTTACTGTTGCATGAAAATATTTTCAACAATAAACGCCTTTTAACGCCTGTAAAAATTAAACAAATACGTTTCAATGATGTTCTCACTGATTCAATAAACTCCAATACACGCTCCATGTACTCCTTATATTTATCCGGAGCAGTTGTAAATACTGTAAAAATGCAGTTTTATGTATTTATTTTTGTTGTTTCTCAGTCCTGCTCTGTTGATGTCAGACCTCTACTGTATGTGTCACAATTAGTGTATTTGAAATATGTCATTTTTATTTTTATAATCTGTACTGACTCTGTATATATGTGATGTACGTTTCTTTGATTAGAATTATAAAGTGGATATACATGTATGTACGCACAAATATGGAATTATTTCTTATACAAACACACACACGGCTGACTGACAGTGGCAGTTGTTTACGACAGGCTGTGTTTTTACTCTGTTCTCACCTGACCTCACACACACACACACACCTTGTTTATTCTGTCTTCACACAGTTGTCCTTATGGGAGAGGGATAAGAGGTTAATAAAACCACAGGAGACAGGTGAGCTTGATAAATAGAACCTGATATTTTAATACAGTCTTGATAAACATTTCATGACAGTAGAGGGGAATGACTGTTCCATTTCAGTTTAGTACTCATGGGACTCAAGAGCACCTACAGTGGAAAGCTGGTGGTGGTGCAGGCACCTGGTCACCACCACCACAGACAAAAACATTCCATTGTAAAAGTTAAAGCTTGTTAATCGGCTTAGATTTTTCCAGGGAAGGTTCCTTCATCTCTCTGTTCGTCCCATTTCTGGATCTGAGAGGAGTGAAGTCGGAGAGCGAAATCGACTCAGTGTGGTTATGATCTTAATGCGAAATCATGTTAAAAATGCTGTGATTTAGTGTGAATTAAAAATGTGCTTATTAAACTTTTCTCAATGATTATCAGAGAGCACACCTTTTTCAGGACAACACATTTACAGATGATGTCATGAATATTCTTGGAGATGTCCAGATGTTTAGGCCAAAATAATACAACCAAGAAAGGTGAGCCTGTATTTAAAAAGAAACCGTTCTCACACCAAATTCTGGATTTGAAGGGGAAAAGGTGAATACTTTTTTTTTTGTTTACAAAGAGGGGACTTTTTTAGCACATTTCACAACAGTACAGATTTCTGGACTATCTGAGTAATGACTAACTGTTGTAGTGTATCATGTCAACAAAAAAAAAAAAGAAAAACTTTTGTTTTGATTCTCAATGCTGTACAGAGACAGACAGGAATGTGAGGATAAAGTTGTTTTGAGCCAGTCGTATCAAACTCAGTCTGTATTAGGACAGTGTGGGTCCCAGGGGGGATAGTTGGTATCTTTATATAATTTTTCTGTTTCTTCTCACAGAAGAGTTTGATTTTAGGTCCACTTTTATTTCTCTTAGCTCCTGCATTTTTTTAAAGATATTTATATCCGAACTAAAATGTGTTGTTTAAGAAGTCTGATTCTCCCGTGTGTTCATATGCAGAGTTATAATGACAGAAGGAGAGCTGGAATCCTTACCCAGGATGTGGGGCAGATGGACTTGTAGACCCTCATGTACCAGTCACAGGGCGTGATGTCCTGTCCTTTGGCCTCCAGTGCTTTCTGGCAGCGATGATAGTCTATTAATAGACAAACAAAAATAATGAATTGTTTTTAAAACAGACCATTAAAAAGCACATTAAAAACTCTGACTGGAATCCCCCTCTGACGGACGACGACTGTGATGCTCATATGGACTACCGTCTTCATTTAACTGTCAACCTGACAATAACTATTTAATCTTCTGGGTCACAGTATATGTGCATGGTCACAATGGTAGAAAGTAGAAGAGTTCTACTTCTACCATCTTTCTGTATGAAGTTTACACTGTATGTTTTACAAGTGTGTTAACAAGTCTGACTTTTGCCCTTGACCTTGACCTTGCCCAGCGGTCCGACTTACCCAGGTAGTTGGACCAGCAGTTTCTGGTCTGGTTCTGGTTGGGGAATCGGGCATCAAATGGAGCCGTTTTATAGTTCTCCAGTTTGGCCTTAATGTCTTCTGCCATTGTGGCCTCTGTATAAACAAAGACAAGTAAATCATTACCACAGTGTACAGTCCTGTGTAGGAGTGAACTTTATGAGTCTGTCAAATACATTCAGCCATATTTTACACAATGTCTGAGGTTATCTTATCATATCCCTAACTTTTGGCCAACTAGCACTGTGTTAGTTATACCTGGTAACTTCAAATCTGCCCATTTTGCTTAATTTCTTAAATATTTTTAGCTATTTTTGGCTACAGTTAATCCAGCTAACTTTAAGTTGTGGGGTGATAAGTAATAACTAATCAACCACAAAGGATAAAAGACAATATATTTATATTTTTTCATGGACTAGTTTCCATTAAAGCTGCTGTGAGCTAATGTTAAAACAGCTTTATGGCTAATTATTAGCTATTTTTAGGCAGTTTACAATACAAATATCTGTGATTCAGTCGTGAGGTCATTATTATGATAATGTGTGTGTTTGTTGTGTTAGTACTGCTATATATTGACAAACTCCTATCAGTTTTTATAGGTGACTTATCTTTGGGTGTTGCTAACAGCTTGTTAGCAATTTAGAAATAATGATCCACCGTTGGCAGTAAAGCATGAAAAACTATCACAAAACAAAAAAAGGTAATTTTACCCAAATTTTAGTATTTTATGTTTCGTTTTTATGGTAACCTACAATGGACAAAGTAAATACGACTTGTCTTTTAAAGATTATTAAATGCTGTGATGAATTTCCCTGCATTTTTTGACTGTGACGGTGAATTATGGGGTTTTCAGCCACGTGTAACTCTACCAGTAGATGCCACCAAATCCTACACTCGGTACCTTTACTCACGGATATCGAATATTCAATGGGCCTCGAGAAACTTGTCCCGCAGTCAACCGCTCACCGACTATTTAAAACATGTTTTACGTGAATAACACGTTATGCATACTTAGCTACAAATGTATTACATGATAGTTTTTTTCACGCACTAAAAATATGTCTTCAGAAGCAAACAATCCGTTTTAACCCATAATCTGCGTTAAACAAATAGTAAACAGCCTGTGGCAGTATTCTTATGGTTAGCTGCAGGCCTATACGATCATTTCCTCTTGATATACGAGGAGAAATATTATATTTCTATCGTATATTTGTCCTTACATTTGTCATCTCCAATACATTACATGATAATGTAGACTTTGTTTTTTAAATTAATAATGTTCAGAATCATAAAAAATAATATGTTCGCATTTAAGTCTACGTCGAATCTGTTCCAGTTTTAAGGATCGTGACTTCCTATTATACCGACAGCGTTGACCGTATCTGGTATTAGATATACACTGGATTATTTGAGGATTAATAAGGTTTTTATTTTATAAGAATGTATAAATAATTCATATTTAAGTTTAACATTACCTTGAATCGCAGCTGCTGCCTCGATCTCTCAAAGTGACTTTTATACCGGGTGGTGAGTGTGTGTATCATGTCAACAGCCTCTGTGTGTGTGAGAGAGAGTGTGTGTGTAAGTGAGTGTGTGTGTAGATATTGCAGTCGTGCAGTGTGATCATCACGGTATGGCGGACTCAGGTCACATTGAAACTCAGACACATGCTTTCACAACTCAGACAGGACCTTTACACTGACAACTTTGCACAAATGTGTTTCCCTGGAGTGTGATAAATGAATGAATGGAGAGAGAATGCTGTTCATTTATTTTTTATTTTATTTGTTCTGGTCTTTGCTCAATGCGGAAGCTTCGTTGTGTTATCACTTTCAGTGCGAGCGTGTGCTAATACGCTTTTTTGTGCCTCGACAAAACTAAGAACAGCCCTGTCCAGGAGTGGATTAGGGCAGTTAGTGCCACACACTGACCGCTCTAACACACGTGGATACTAAGGCGATCTGACACATCAGGTGCAGAAAGTGATAACTTGACGAGCTTGTCAAGGGTTAAGCTGCTGGATCTCACCAGGACGCTTAAAATCCCCAAACAATAACAGTATCACATGAGATTATCTGCACAACACTAGTCACAGGCGTTTTCCATGGTCTGTGTTCTCATCGTAACCACGGATCTGCGCGCTCCAAGTGCGCCGCCCTCGAGAGCGACTCCCGTCCTCATCCATATTCACGTATCTTGCTAGCGGATCCGGTTTCTATCCTCCTGTTTACGAGATTGGTATGAGTGTCTCATCATCAGTTAAATATTTCCTTACAAGGACCTATTTCCATTCTCTTTAAGTAATTCAGGAAGACAGGAGCCAGTCAAATATCCGTGCGTCTGGGTCACGGCATGACGCGCAACAGCGGTAAAGTTGTGCGCTGTACTTCGGAATACGTGAGAGGCTCCCGCCTATCCATGGACCACATACGTATGCCTGCGCGGCAGCCGAAATAAATCTGTAGTGTCTGTTGTTGGACACAGGAGGGAGACAGAAACCTTCTTACTTACGTCCTCTTCTTACTTTCGCTACCCTTTTTAGCAAGCTGGTGCTAAAACATGTGAATTATATAACCTCAAATAACATCGGAGTGTGATGTCTCTAACGTACGACTTTTGAGAAACACGTTTTATTACTGTAATTATTTGTTTAAATTCACCATGACCCTCAACGTTTAAAAGTTGGGGCGGCGACAGCGCACCAAAGTGTTGTTTGCCAGCATTATAAGAAAACACTAGAAGAAGAGGAAGAACTTCAAACTACGTTGTCCCGCCCGTCACTTCCGCTTTGTGAAACGGAAGTCGTCGAATTTACGAAGTGGAAGCTTTGGTGATGCTTGCGCGAGTTCGATTACAAATAACATAATTTAAGCACCAAGGAGCTGCTTTCTGACGACTAATTGTTATCTAGAGCTGCCGACGGAGGAGTAACACAATGTCTGCCCAGGCTCAAATGCGAGCTTTGCTGGACCAGTTGATGGGAACAGCTAGGGATGGTGAGTAGCGTAGAACGCTAGCTTGAGCTAGCTGTAGCCAAGATGGAGCCGCTGCTGAGGCTGCTGTTGGCGTGTGATGGACAGAACTGCATGAATGGATGTGCTGTGCAGGGGCTGTGTGATAATATAATAGTTTAGTAAACTTCATATAACACGAACGACCTATTTTAAGGAGTTGGATTTGCATCCAACTTGGCAATATCGACTTTAAATATTTGTTGTTTTGCTTCCACTGACTCGAGACGTAGCTAATGTGTTTGCTTCAAGCTAAAGTAGCTTCTTTTAGCTGCGATGCCTTAAGCATCATGGCGCTCGCTCCCGATGGACAGCACACATCTAAAAAAGGTTATTTTATTTTTTATCGAGATGATATAACAGTTTGTCGCTGTTCTTTAAATATTTAAGTAAACGATTATGGTGGTTGCCATTGGAGTTATCAGCATGGCAGACCGAAGGAATATTTGGTTCGTGTTGTCGTCCTTGTTTTATTGAATTGTGCTTATTTATTATAAAACATGCAATGTGAAAGGTGAATTCGTTATCTTTTAGGCCTACACCTAAATTTAAAACTGTAAAGTGGATTTGAAACTTCAAGAGAAGATCAAGATTTTTGCAGACACGTTTTTAAAGATCTATGTTGACATTGCAAATAAGGAAATGAAAAAATGGTGAGACATTTGTTCCTCACATGAATTCCTTTCTGTATTTGAACAGTTTGCAAATTTTTAAATATACATCGAACCCCTTTTTTGCTTCAGCTATTTTAAATATAGAATGTTCATCTTTACATTTTATTTTAGATCCACGATTACACAAATCCTGTTTTTTGTAGACTTGAAGCTAATTGGATGCAAATATTTCAAATAAAGTCAAAGTTGGTTAATTAATGCAGCCCTCTGGAATATGATTTAACAAGTAATTGGATCTAGACAGTAAGTGTGAAATTTGTGTTGTGAATTTGTGGTTGTATGTGTGATGAGTTTGACAATGAATTCTTCCCATTCATTTGTTGCATACAAACTGAACAATTGTGGCCCCTTTATTTTATTCATTAAGGTTCAGTGTATCTTTGCCAGCCTACATCAATCTGCAAGGGAGTTGCAGAAAAGCCTCATGTTCATCGAGCCGTGAGTCACACATAATTTTTAAAGCTGTTATGATGAATATCCAAACAATTTGTTTGCCTTCCGGAAGTAACTGTAGCCTGTTTGTGAAAACCTTCAGTGGCACTAGAGAATTTGGAGTAGTTATATACAGACTGAGCTAAGACGTCTGGTCGCGCTGAATCTAAACCAGCAGTTCTCAGTTTTTCCAGCTGACGTCTGTTTTCAGAAGGCAATTTTAGCAATCAGTGGAAACAAAAAAAATTGAAAACATCGTTTACACTCTGACTTGTGTATGACTCCCAACTTCTTACTACAGGTATGGGCAAGAACACTGTTCCCATTTATACTTTTCTACAGCGGGTTTAAAATTCTGCAGCTGAGGTCTTGAAGATGCAGAAGGGTACAGTATGTGGTGCAGATCGCAGTGTGTATAACAACATTTTTTCCCTTGTTATTTTTTTTTAATTTGATTTCTTTTCTCCTTTTGTTTGCTTGATCCATGTTGTATTTTTCTGAGCTTGGTCGACCGGAATGTTTACTTTTGTTGTTGCAGTTTTAAAAGCAGCCTATTTATATATATATATATATATATATTTACAGTATATGTGTTTACACTCCATTATATGTGAAAAGGTAGCTCTGGTTAGGTTATTTAATGGAAATTTAAATGACTGACAATAGTAAATAAATGTACTCTGTAGTCTGATTAAATTTAATAAAGAAAAGATAGCAAATCATCAAGAATGAGATGAACATCTGCAATGATGCAAAGTCATGTCATGTTTCCTGATAACATCAAAGAAACATAGTACAAACATGCATATAATACACAAGTTAAAAAGTCCTGAGTATGAAATTATAGTATTTATTTAAAACAGTCAACTATTCTGAGTTAATAAAGTTCCTGACCACCTGTTTTATGTTCAGACACTATTATTTAGTGGTACTGGATGCCTCGCTTGTGCTGACAAGTACCGTATGTGATGTCTGTCTTACTGGTGGCCATTGGATTGTTTCAGGGGATGAGACACGACAGAGGGTGAAGTTCACTGATGACAGAGTCTGCAAAAGTCATCTGCTCAACTGCTGTCCACATGACATTCTGTCTGGAACCGTGAGTGCACTGTGGCCCCAACATTTTATTTTACAGTATCTATTTAACAGTTTATCACGGTAATGTCATATGTGCTTGTGTTTGGGTCACAGCGTATGGACCTCGGAGAGTGCACCAAAATCCATGACCTGGCCCTGAGGGCAGACTACGAAATTGCCTCCAAGGAGAGAGACTTGTTCTTTGAGCTTGATGTAAGTGAATTGCTTTTACATCCTGAGCACGTATCCAGGTTCTTCAGTCAAATTGATTGACTTTTTAAAAAATATTTAAGTCTCCCAATCAAGTCACATTTTCTCACTTTAAAAGGCGGTGGATCACCTGGAGTCATTCATTGCCGACTGTGACCGAAGAACAGAACTGGCAAAGAAGCGACTTGCTGAGACTCAAGAGGAGATCAGTGCTGAGGTGGCAGCAAAGGTGAGGAAATAAATCATAAAAGAGTCTTCTAACACACCATTCAGTGTGTCTCATTGACTTGGTTCCTTTCTATGCTGCGCCGTAGGCAGAGAAAGTCCATGAGCTGAATGAAGAAATAGGGAAGCTGCTGGCCAAGGCTGAGCAGCTTGGAGCTGAAGGAAATGTGGATGAGGCCCAAAAGGTTCTGCAAGAAGTGGAGAAGGTTCGCACAAAGAAGAAGGATGCAGAGGTAACAAAGAATTGACTCAAGCAAAGTTGTTTAATTGAAGCAGTGATTTACATTTTCTAATCCTGTGACATTTGTTCACCAGGAAGAGTACAGAAACTCGATGCCAGCCTCCAGCTTTCAGCAGCAGAAGCTGAGGGTGTGTGAGGTTTGCTCTGCTTACCTGGGGCTCCATGACAACGACCGACGTTTGGCAGATCATTTTGGTGGGAAGCTCCACCTGGGCTTTATCCAGATCAGAGAGAAACTGGACCAACTTAAGGTATTAATTAGTCCACTTTTTTACACACCTCTATGCACTAGTACAAGTTGAAAAAAATTCCATTCTTTGCATGGTAATGTTCGTAGACGCAAATTACCACAATCTTCACGCATACCCACGGTTTGAGAATTTAGTGTCTCAATTGTCACCGGCCATCTATTCTTTCCAGAAAACTGTTGTGGATAAACAGGAGAAAAGGAACCAGGAGCGATTAAAGAGAAGAGAAGAAAGGGAGAAAGAAGAACGAATGAAGAAGAGGTGGGTTCAGGTGTTGAAGTAGTGAAATCGACCGATTATTGAAGGTATATGTTTGACCTTTTCTTCTTCTGTAGGACCAGGTCACGAAGCAGAGAGCATAAAAGGTAGTCCAGGTCGATTGTTTTATACATTTATATCTGTTTCTCCAGTGGAGAGATTCTTTTGCTAAATAATCACTGTCACTTCCATTAGGTCTCGTTCCCGTGACCGAAGGAGGCGACGCTCGCGCTCCTCATCACGAGACCGGCGTCGTTCACGCTCACGCTCCAGGGATAGAAGGAGGAGACACCGCAGTCGTTCTCGTAGCCGAGGCCACCGTCACAGCCATGAGCAGAGCTCCAGGCATAAGTAAATACTCAAGTCAATTCATTACTGAAGTGTTACTGTCTTAAAAAAAGTACTTTAATAATTCAGTGAGAGGACTTCATCATGACCAAGTTAGCCTTTATTAGCTTATAGGCTAATGGGCTGTAGCAAGAGTATGACATCAAGAGGACTAAAGTTGGCAATGTTATTGTCCTACCATAGACAGAGCAGAGTTTTTAAACCTGCGCTAAGTAACAGCTGTCATATTAAGAAACTCTGGGGCACTTTTCCCACTCAGGTCTTCCAGGGACAGGGAGCACTCATCCAGGGACAAGTCACGTGAGCGAGACAGGAGGGACGGCATAAATGGCAGATCAGACTCCAGACGAGTGGACGACAGGGACATGGACCTTTGAAGACAGAGCTCTGTTCAACTCTGATGGTTCATCATTTCTGTTCTCACGTCCGCCCCTGGTTCCTTTGCTTTCACACAGACCTCAACATATTGTATGGATTTGCTGCTTCGGCCTCCAGATGCGTGTGACTGCATTTGGATGCTCGGGTCAGTTGTTTATTTGTAGTTGAATTTTGAAAACCCACCTTTGTAATTTTTTTTTTTTTTTTTTGGCCGTCTAGCCAACGCATCCTGTGTCTCTTTATAAAAATCCCTTAAACTATTCCAATAGATTGAGCGAACAAATCTAAAAATCTGCTGGATTAGAGTACAAAAAAAGAACCTGTTCAAATTCTTTGATCAGCAGACAGTGTCTTGATACAGAATGTGTCTGTAAATATGTTTTGAACTCATTGATATTATGAACGTCTTCAAAATCGTGTTATTTTTCCTTGCTTTGAGTGTGGTTTCATTAATGTTTGTCCCATGTTTAGTCTCCATTTGGCTGACACTCAGTCAATGCTTAGTCAGTAAATACACAAGTAAGTTTTTAATTTGGTGCCATTAGAATCACACCGTCTCTTCTTGTCCCCCCCTCCCGATTATCAGTGATGGAGTTCTGTGCGGCCGGTGTAAGTCGATGATTGTTTTTAGTTTGTAATTTGACATTTGTTAGACTTTGATTCAAATGAATATTGGTAAATTGTACCTGTTGGCATGTTGACCAGTCGTTTGAGGACAACTGAAAATGTACCTTTGGTGGGGGGGGTATTTACACCTTGAGTCCAAACTTCTGCAAAAAAAATGGGCCCAATCAAAAACTGTTTTTTGAATTTCTGCTAGAACTCTTTCTTTTAAAATTAAATAAAAAAAAAAGAACCATATTCTGTGTCATGTTTTTTTTTTATCATGTGTCAGTTAAAGGAACAATGATTTATTTAGTTAATAAATTAAATCTCATGTCAGTATAGTTAAATGATTTACTCTAATACATTTGCTCAGAGCCTGTCTGTGATAAAGGCTTGGTTAAGTAGATATGTCTGTTTAGACAGTCTATTTATTGTCCATTGACAATCATGTCTTTATTATGTGAAATGATTATAATACAAGAATCCAGTGACAGTCAAGTCCTTCATGTCAGAAACGCCTGCACTTCACAACGTGCTGCTCTCCAGTTTCAGGTCAACCTTCTGCTTCTGCTTCTCCATCACGGCCTCCAGCTCTGTGGCTCTCCGAGCGTCCTAAAGAGGAATACATTCAATTAAAAATAGTTTTGCATGTTATGCGTTCAAAAGAATAAAGTTGTAAACACCTTACATTAGAATTGCCATTCATTCATTATGTTATGTCATTAGATGTCGCTAGTCACTAGATTCTTAATCACCACCCATGTGCATGAAATTACTTTCACGGATTTTTAAAAATAAATAAAAGGTGACTACGTTGGGTATTAATGTGTTTACGGTTCCAGACACTGAGTTAATGATCATAATGAACTATAGAGAAATATCATTTAATTGGAAATCGTTGACGTAGAGATGTTTTTTTTAAATATTATTATTAGCCAATAGAGGGCAACAGTTGTTCTTGTTCCGCTTGTAACCACCCGGAATGCACAGCAGATTAAACTTCAAGCCGTTGGACCGCCCACACAGCGAACAAATGGGTATCGGCGGCAACAATTTGCATGACGTTTTCTAACATTACATATTCCTGGTTTATATTTACATCACGTTTACCCTTGCTACTAGAAGTGTGTAGAAACCAGGTGCTACTGTGCTTACGATAGTCCTTCGTTTAGCTAGTGTTGAGCTTTATTAGAAAACTAAGGTTTAAACTTCTGTTCTTTGACTCTACCTCAAGCAGTGCTTTCTGCACGGCGAGCTGACTGTAGACTCTGGCGCCCTCAGCTGGCACAACTCTTCGTAGCTCCTCCTTGTGAAGCGAGAAAAGCTGAGCTCCCGTCAGTACTCCCAAACATGACACCGTCCTGAAGGTGAAAAAAAGGCTTAATTCTATCAATTTTTACTGTGTAATAATCTGTTTATTAGTTTAGTTTAGTAATATTTGTGGGACATTCTGATTAGCTTTGAAATATTTGTTTCTGTGGAATGTTTTATTAGACGCATTTTAAACCTTGATAAACTTCACGTAAGTAAATACTGTAATACACACTTGGTGATGTGTAAACTTTTGAATGCGATTAAAGCTACCTAGAATCTATATTGCCTTTGCCTTGTTAAACATATATTTAAAATTAAACAACAATAACTACACTAAGTAATACTCGGTAATGAATTCAAGCACTCAAAAGATAAAATGTGGTTAGGAATTTGCACAAAACAGCAACATTAGCTTGCTATGCTAAAGCACAAAAACACAAACCAAGCAAAACTAGCTTAGTTGAAGTTGTTTTACTTTAAATAATATAGTTATTAATTGATTTTAAAAACACAGAGAGCTAAAATGTTGTACTTTTCTTGCTATAGTTGAAAAGTTACACATACACTCATTTCGAGGAACTGAAAAAAAAAATTATAATTATTGTACAATACATTGAATATCAACAGCCAATGGAGGCAGGCCATTGGTCCTCGGAGATTCAGTGTACAGACAATTAGTGGTTTGCTCTGGTCTGACCCACTCACATTTCGTTGAAGCCTTTCCCTCTGAGCCACTCGGCCACCTCTGCTGGAGGAGAATGATAGTCCAGAGGAACAGACGTCTCCGAAGATCGAGGGATGACCAGGGGTTTGTGTAGGTTGGTCTTCCCGTTGGTTAGCCTCTGCAGAAGCTCATCGTTCACCATCATGACTGAGGAAAACAAAAAGCAGCAGGAAAAAATCCGCTGCATTACTATATCCTAGTCTAAAGCATTAACCAACAAGTAAACTTTATGTACAATGTGTTTGAAAAAAAAAAAACAGCAGCAAACACATGTTTTAAAAATAATCATTGCCAATATTGTGGCTTTGCCAAATTTGACCTGTGGATGACCTCTGGGTAAATGGCTTGCCTGAGTATTAATTGTTTAAATATTTGTCCAAGTTTAATTGCTGTACTATTTGGTATAAGTATCATAAAAATAATAACATTTCTGCAGTGTATAAAAAGTAATGCTATCATTATACTAATATTCTGATCATTACTATACACATACGACTATTAGATTACACTTTGTTGTATATTTCCTCTCCACCTTTTCCTCTGTAGTTCTCTCATACTTTGACTGTACCAGACACTGTTTACTATATAATTAGAGATACCTTTATCTGTGTCTTCTGCAGCTGCTACGTGTTGGCTGTATGCAGGTAAGCTGAGCGGACGCTGTTGGGAGTGTGACGGAGCCTGAGGCAGAGAAGGAGGACTGGGAGGGACCAGAGAAAAAGTCTTGGTGAGAGGAGGAGGAGCTGGGATCTGCAGGAATGTGGAGCAGAGAGAGAAGACAGAGGAATTCACTTAGGTATGCACAGGTGAACCCACTCCTTTGAGCTGACAAGGTTGATGTGTATGTGTGTGTGAACATGAATGTAGTCTGTCTCACATTTGGAGGTTTGCTGTTGACGGGGCTGTCTACGTGGGCCATGGGCTCCAGGATGTTGAAGGGGACAAAACCAACCTGGTTGAAGCGGTTACGACACTTCCACCAGCGCTTGGACGATTCTACCACCTGTCAGACACAGGAGCCACTGTCACTGTCACTGTCAATCAAAACTATTGTGTTGTTCTAAGACATAAACATTTTACGAAACTACTAGTCAAACTTTTAACTTTATATAAACAAAAAACTTTCAAAAATCATGCAGTTATGAAGGAGTGGAATTTTCTCCACTGAATCCCATAAATTGTCTTCTTGTTTACACTGAGACAGTGTCCAGACTGTCTCTGAGCCACTGTTCCGGTTGCTTGCACAGTTCAACAGTAAAAACCAAAACCTCCCCATTAGATTTATTTTTTAAATGGAAATGAATTATTATTATTAATATTTCATCAATATTATTATTATTTTCCTTACCTCCAGTGTCTCCCCCTGCTGCACTGACAGCTCACTGCTATTCCTGGCTATAAAGGCGTAACTGCAGGTGTAGAGTCTGTCAGGTAGTGGTGAGAGTGGGCTGCCATCTCTGAGAAACAGTGTAAAAACAAGAGGAATCATGCAATTAAGACAGTGAAAACAACAGAGCAGAGTTCTTTTTTTAATTTGTGAGATTGAATTACGTTTCGTCAGTGAGGTCCGTGTCGGGAGGCCCTACAGGCTGAGGAGGCTGCTGCTGCTGCAAAAGTAGGAGAGAAATAAGAGATAAACAAAGATGGATGAGGGAACATGACAAGGACAGTTCCACCAGATGCGTAGCAGCTACGTTTTTGAGGAAGATTCAGAGTGTCTTTGTATAACAATGATCATATTCACCACCCAAAATGTTCAGTTCTAGCTGAGAACATCTGGTTTTGTTAGGTTGCCAATATAGTGCATTTGCAAAAGTCAAACGTTGGCATGTTCAAATTTATATCTCAGAACAGCAGTTGTTAAGAGAAAGTGCCGCCTCACAGCTCCTTTAACGTGAGTCATTTTCCAACTGCTCTTTTGTTCTCTGCTGCCTTGACATTGTAAAACCAACTATTTCAAAAGCAGGTATTCTGTACCTCTAGTTTTTCTTGGAGGGCTTCATGTTTGTACTGTGACTCGACTGGATCTTCCCAAACCTGCCCGTCTGGCCTCAGGGCTTCCGGTTTCCAACCGTCCAAGAACACAGGGCTGTACGGTGCGATGGGCCCCCTGAGCTGAGAGCTGAGGAAACAAAAAGGCTTTAGACTTTAGTTTTTAAGCTATCATTATAAAAATATTTACACATGAATATTTTATGGTCAATACATTTCAAAATGTTTTTTTTAAAACCATAATGATTTTAAAAGCCAGTTAAAAACCAAGAATAACAAGATTCAGATTATTTGGGAGATATAACTTGACCTTGGCTGTAGATGTGGTGAGGTCATTTCCCACAGTATGACGTGGTAAAACCTGAGGTCTGCCTTTTGGACAAACTCTCAAACCTCAAACATGTTCACTCACTAAAAACAAAAACCACTCACATCCTGCTGGTCACTGCCAAAACCTGTAATAAAAATTGGGTCACAGCTCCAACTATTGATAATGGCGATAAATACATTTCATAGAGAAAACGGCCAGGAATAACATCAGTTGTTGTATGAACTTTGGCAGCCTTACATACTTTAAGCTCTGGTGAGTACTAGCTTGGTCTCCTGTCAATACCTCCTTAAATACTTGACCTGAATTGTGATTAAAGAGATGCTCAGGTCTTTTATTTATGTAGGAAAAACACATTAAAACACACACATACATATACATCTACATATATGGGATATAGTTCAGGTTGGGGAAAAAAGAAAACAAACTGGTGGTGTGAGTCGGTACTGACTGCGAGTGTGTCCAGTTGGGACCCAGGGACGTCCACAGCTGCCTCTCTTCCAGGTTCAGGTTGTCTTGTAGTAGGGACACAGCAGAGTCGGTCATAGCTGGACTTGACACTGAGGCCCCCATAGCTGGTCCTCCTGTTGTTTTCACCATCTTTGAGCAACCCAAAAAATTAGAAAAAAAAACTTGTAAAATTGACAATGTCAAATTGGCAAGTTTTTTAACACAAACTTTTTTTAAATTTCTGTTTCAAAGGAAACATACACACACCAGATATAACACGGCTGCGCAAAGTGTTAGGCGTGTTAAGTCTTTGTTTCTATTTACAAACGCCAATACACACAAATCATACACACCCATTTTACCCTGGACTGATTCACGTCTGAACAATTGTGACAAAAGCCTTTATTGGTTTATCAAATATCAGCAGTGACACCTGGAATTCCAGGCCTGATAAAGCACCTATACATAAGTTAAAAACTGCTTATTCGCTTTATGTTCGCACTTACGCCGACTGAAAGGAAAATCTAATGAATAACATAATTTTCAAAAGTAGCCAGAGGTTTGCGTTACTAGAAAAAATAACAGTGAAAAACAACAACAAATAAACAAAAGGTGAAAGTTAGCAAAAACAGCAAATAACTTAAAATCCAGCCAAGTAATGGTGTACAACAAATACTAAAAAATAGTCAAGAAGGCCAGCAATAACTTAAAGACATCCATCATTTACCGCTAAAATAAAACCACCAGGATTGACCTCAGACTGAGTATTTACCAAGAAATGTCAAAAAAAGTACATGTTTCCCTTTCAAACTATAAACCATTAACCAAATAAATATTATTTATCATTCAGTTCCACCTGGTTATCAGGCACCAGTGACCCACCCTGAGTCAATACTCAGGAGGACGTGTTGTTTCTGAAAACATTACCCAACCACGTGGACAACTTTTCCATTATTTGGACGTGACACACGCTTACTACCTTGTCCTATAACATCCATTACATAAAGCCAGCACTAGTGCCTCCATAAAGAACAGGGTGAGTCACGGGACACACCAGACTCCTGATTTATTTTAGGGACTGTCGTCATGTCACACCATCATGGTTTTTATTTACGCTGCAGTAAAAAGACGGGACCTAGTGTTTAACACTGACGACAACAGGTGTTTGTCCTTGTGTTGTCCTCACTGATGTCCCCTCAGACCTTGTTGAAGGCCATGTGTTTGATACTGCAGTGACTCACCATGTCGAGTGGTTTAAAGACGTGGTGAACCAGTTCCTCTGACGAAGGGTTGGTGATGGTTGATTTCAGACGAGCCTGTGAAGAATTAACACAGGGTTAGTTACAAACATTACCAGCATCTTAGCTAATGTTTCTTACATTTCTGTCTGTAAAGCTATAACTTAAAATTTGAAGTCATTTTACCAATTAATGGCAGACTTTAACTATACACTGTTTTGGTTATGGTTTAGAGTTTTTGGATAACATTCAGGGCTAACAATATTACATTTTTGTGGTATTTTTGGCTCTTATAGCTACATTTACTTTTCAGCTAGTTGGAGATACTATGGTATTTTGTTTTTAGATTCTAGCTGATACCTTTTAGATTTTATATATATATATATATATATATATATTAGCCACAGGTTATAGCAATTTATTTTTTTTGGCAACTACAGGATATTTTGCAAATCCGTTTTGATTTAAACTGCTTGGTTTCTAATCCAATGGTAAATGCATCTTTCAGTTTTTGAACACCAGAGCTGTACAGTTACAGGTCTAGAAATTCAAGGATCCTTAAAACAACAGTGACATAGAAACAATTCCAGGCTTATTAAGTCTTCTTTATAACTGCAGACTGCAATGACAATGAAACAAATAATGACTGTGTACACACCAGTAGACTGAAGCAGTATTTAAATTTCTGGAAGATATCGATGAACTCCTCCTCTGGTGGGGGACGGGCCTTTGCAGTCAATAAATCTTCTGTTACACACAATCAAAGACAATTCAAGTACAGTCCACTCTGTTACCAACACACACACACACACACCTCCCGTCTTTTTACCTTCAGCACTTTGCTTTTTACTTTTCTTCTTTTTCTTCTTCCTCTGGTTCAGCACCGTTGCAGCCTCTGCTGTCTGCTGCAGCTTGGCCATGAAGTTCTCGATGTCGTCAAAACAGTGGTTGAGGATGCCCTGAGAAAAGGGAAAAACATGTTCTGTCAAAGCCAGAAGTGAAGCCATGGAGTGAAGAAGATGAAGGTGATGAAGAGGCGTACCACTTCTCTCTCCGCTCGCAGGAAAGCGATGTCAGGTCCACCGTTGACCACATTGACCGCTGCAGAAGAGAAGAGCGGAGGATTCTTCAGCGGATCCATGTTCATTCATGGCCCCGCTGTTTGCATTTGGAATTCCTCTCCCCCATTCCCCCCTGCAGTCCCCCTCCCTCATGCACAAACACTGACAAAGCAATCTCTGTTCTCATGATCCTTTCACCTCAGCTGTGTCGGTCTTCTCTTCTTTCCTACCTCTCAACTTCCTCTCCTGTCACATCTCTCAACACTCCTTCCGGACAAGGAATTGAACTATCAATCAGTAGAATTGGTTTGAAACTGAGTCTTCTTTACTTACCTCTGGGGCCTGGGTAAGGTGGAGGGTTGGATGGTGGTGGGTTGGGAGCATGTGCGACGGGGTGACTCGGGATTCCGCAGGGGTCGATCATGTCTCCTTCACTTTGAGGTGGCCTACAGGGAAGAGTAAGAAAGTTTAACTTCCGCTGCACTCGACACACGACGTTGTATCTCCAGATTTGAAGGCAGCAGCAGGAGATGAACACAGACTTTGCACAGAAATCTGTCCAACCTCAGACAGAGTCCAGGCAGACTGTGTCAGAAGACAATGTGGCGTCTCTGAAATTCAATCCTAAAGCCCTTATTTCAGTAAAGTACAGTAAACAGTGGGGAAGTGCTTACTCACAGCTCTGCCTCAGAATTCTCATCTCGATTCTCCTTCTATTTTAAACTTGTTGTTGATAACCCATCAGTTAGTTCCCAGGCTAAAAACAGCAATAATTTAAATGCGTGCATTCAAAACATTTACAAAACTTGTCTGTTTGCCCTTCTCCAGAATAAACAAAACATCCAGCAAATGCCCTGAAGCTGTGACTCACGGCAGTGAAGTTTGGTTACAGAGTTGATGCCAAGGTAAAAACACTCCATCGGTGTCTGTCTGTCTGTCTGTCTGTGTGTCTTACCACAGGTGAAGATCCTCCAGGTGAATCTGTGAGGCTCAGAGCCGGCTCTGTGCCACTGTCATCCCTCTCCACCTGCTCTCTCTCTCTCTGCTTCCTGCCACAATGGCCTGGTTATCTCTGTCACACCTTGTGCAGTTATGTAGGAACCAGTAGAACTAGTCCTCTCTCCCTGTCTCAGCTGTTTACAATCTCAACTCCCTCCTCACCCCCCCCCCCCCCCCCCCCCTCTCTCTCTCTCTCTCTGTCTCTCTCTCTCTTTCTTTCTCTCTCCCTCTCTCTCGCACCTGCCCACTCTCACACAGCTTAGTGGTTATAGCTGGCTGCTTTGACTTGAAATGGAACATTAAAGGGGTTTACATAAAAGAAAAACAAAGGCAAGAAAGCAGAGTCCTTGACAGAGGCGTGGCTGAGTCCAGTGCAGGGACCAATCTTGGCCTTTGTAAAGGTTTGACCAAACAGAATAGAGTAGAATAGAACAAAACACTTACTGTCTTTGTTGTATAAAAACCTTTGGTCCATAGTAGACGTTCAGTATTGCACTTTTTTACGTTTTTTGGATTCTGCCATTTGCGTCTTGTTTTGGCCTAACACATAAATTGATACATTAGTAGATTTTGCGTGTTAGAACTCCAGCCCTGGGATGTCAGGTAGACATGATCTAGGTCTGATTGGATGCATTTATGACGCCACTAATGATGTCGTGTCGGCGGTTCCTTTAATTATTGACCAAAGTCTGTTTTAAAGTGAAGTCAGCCACACCCTCCCTGATGTATTTAGATGGTACATCCCAAAGGTGTGGATAGGAGTGACGACACACCACTGGCACCTGAACTGCATCTGAATGGAAACGTCCTACCTCTAATTAATACTCTGCCTTTGCAGTGTTTATTTTATTTTAGCTAACTGCAATTTGTATTCAGACTGTAAACAATGTCCCTCTGTTCCATATTCACTTTTATTATTGCCTCGCTAGTTCACCTTGCAAAACAATAGTAAGTAAGTTACTGTACACACTTCTAATGGGAGCTTCACCATAATCACTGCTCCAACCACTGGATCCTGGACTGAAATTTTGCCCTGGGTCGTGTAAAGCAACAGAGCATATTAATGCATTATAGCCAGAGCTGTTTTCCATTTTTAGTCTCTTGGTATTTAGTATCAATGCTCAGGCAAACAAAAAGAAACATGTATATATTGTATATACTGTACTGTATATATTCAACCTCTTCCCCCAACACTTTAAGCATTTTAAGATGTGTTAAGTCATTAGTATTAATGCGTGTAAAAATAAAAGACCATGTGAACTAACTCAGCATTTAAACTTCATGACTTACTCACATTTAATCACATTTCCATCTGAGCACAAGTTTGTTACCAAGTGAAATACCTGAATTGAATTCTGACTGTTTTATTTTTAGAAGTATCATTTTAAGCAGTTGGAATATTTAGTTGTCATAGAAAAAAAACCTGGGATGTCCCTGGGGCATGAAGTATTTCTGTCCTGGGTTTTGGCTGCATGACAGTCTACTGCAACACTATATGTACATGTCCAACCATGAGACACTTTGTTCTGTTGTCTCTGTTGTCTTGACTCTAAGAAGATTGTGTTTCATTTTAAGAGTCAGTAATAAAACAACTTAAAGAGTTAGAGATATAAAAATGTACCTGGTGGCATCTGAGGGGCTGATGACCTCAAGTTTGGAGGAACCTGAAACAGTGCGTGCAATGTCATCACGAATTTCCTCCGCCTGTGAGAATGAGAACAACAATCACTTGGACAAAAGCCCAGAGCTGCACAGATTTCACAGTGACTCCTGAGGCGGGAAAAAGACTCTCAGTCTCAGACTAGTCTCAGGTTTTATTGCTGTTTCTCACCATCACACGCTCACAGTTGAAGAAGTGAATGTCCGGCTTCTTCTGATCTTCACTTTTGCAGATCAACATGAGCAGCGATGAGAAGTGTTTCACCGTGTTGATGGTGTCGCAGCGCAGGATGGATTTTAGGGTGTAGCTCTCAAGCTCATCCTGTAGGTGGAGATCAAAGTGGTTTCAGGTCACACTAAAGAGACACCTGTGAGTGTTTACTGTCCAACATCACGTCTGCAGGTCTCACCTGACTCTGGATGTCTCGAAGCTGAATGGCCTCTGTTCCAACATCCAGGAACATCTGTTGGCTCCACAGCTTGTTGCTCTCAGCCAAGAAGGAGAGTCGAGCCTGCGCCTCCTCCACACCCTGCACATCCCCATCCTGGAGTGAGAACGTCATGAGGTGCTGCGAGGAGAGAGTAGCAGGTAAGGAAATAAATACATGTCTTCCTGATGTCCTTTGTTGCATTCAAGGTGAGATGATGAAACTCACGTTGACCAGATATCTTGAAAGGTTTGTCATTTTATCGTCCACTGCTTCCGTGACCTGTGAGATCACAGGTGGAGAGATGGTATCAGGAAATGTCGTAGGTGCAGCCACAGCACAGTGGGCGCAGTAACAGTACCTTACAGTACACCACTACAGAGAGTGCATGTAGTACTGTTAGGAGTACTGAAACAGAACGTTGGAAACAGCACTATGAAAACATGACTCTTATTCAAGTTTTCCCTGCTCTCGTTTCAGACTACAGTGACCTGTGTCACACTCTGCTGGGAGTAAGCTGCCTGAATGAACCGCCCGACCAGTCTGACGACAGTGAAATGAACCTCAACCAATCAAAACCTGGCTGTTCCTCAATGACCATTGACACTGGAATCCCCGGTATCTACAGAGACTAAACGTCATCTAGTTTCGTCAAAACCTTTTTGATGACGTAGTGTCTCAGTCTTGACTCTTTAGTGCCAATTTGTATAATAATAAAAAGTTTAGAAACCCTGCCCTCCTTTACAAAGAAGTGAAATATGGCACATTATAAGATCCTAAGGTAAATCGTAAAAGGTATCTTAGGTTCATTTTTAGAATTTCTGCAGAAATAACTTTAAATTCTTCAAATCTTTAAAAATGTTTATTTGCAAGAAAACACTTTCTGTACATCACTGCCTCACAACAGGTTTTAAAAAAGCACATGTGCCATTATAATAAATTAAAGGCAAAATTCAAATAAAAAAAAATCTCTTTTAAAATTCTCTCTTTTTTCATTTTAGTTTTTCTGGTCAGGGCAAATGCAGAGATGGACAAATGAATATAGGATCCACTTACCAGCGAGGACGAACGTCTTCTTCTGCTGTATTCCTGTTGTTGCCTCCAGTATGAGTGGAGTTGGAAGTGACACCAAAACCCTGAGCTGATCTGAGCTGAGCTGCTGCTGCAGGTGCGTCACACACTGAAAGAACTGAGCGCTTTCACACAGCACTGGTGTAGCACCTTGTCTGGTCCCGCCCACTATACCACCCCACCTTACAGATAAAATATTTACTCATCACCCCTTCCTGTGCACACCTACAAGTTAACAGAACGGAACCTATGGAGCATATTTGAAGTTGAAAGTTGTAAACTTTGAACATATTTATATACCACATTTAAAAAACAAGTGTAGGTAACCAAAATGGTTTGTAAGCTACCAAATAATACTAACTAATACTAAGTATTTTTTCTTTACTTCACATTACTTTGTTTACTTTTAAATGTATGAGCGTAGTATTTTGTAAGTATTGTGTCTGCTATGGTGTCAAATAGAAGTTAGGTCATGTGAACATGTTTTACTTTAGGGTAATGTGGGTATAACATGTTAATGTGATGCCATATATATATTAACACGTTGGAGTTATAGTTTTCTTTAAACTTTTCCCATAAAGTCTGCGCCTAAATCCTTAAACTGAGAAGTACAGGTCCATACATTTTCTTAACTATCCTTAACTTGTCAAAATGTCCTCACAATGATGCTTTTGAACATTTTATCCCCAAAACACGTGTAGATAGGTTTAGATAATGTTCTGGAGGTGGTCTATGAAAGTGTGGTTTCACATTTCACAACAGTGTTTATTTTGGGGAGGACAGGCAGTCTTCGTTTTGTCCACCAATAGAGGAGAAAGGCGGAGTCAGGTGAAGTGTCCACGGGAGATTGTTCACACTTGACTTTGCTTTAAGGACGCGTGGACACTTTCTCCCTAGCTCCTGCTGCTGTGACAGAAAGGTATTTTGGTCGGTTCTTCCATTCTCACAGGTGATAGTTGGTGTTCGTGTAGCACTAGTCCAGCCGTCTGTGAGGACATCTTCTGATGTGCGTGTGATTTATTTGCCTACAATACGTGGCATACGTGGCAGACAGCGTGTGTGAGGGAGATCGTGGTGAGCGTGCGCGTGTTTGTGCTCACGTCAATGTCACAGGCCGAAACCATGAGACTGAAGACTAAAAAATACACGATTTTATTAAAGAAGTCTGTTTAAGAAAATGTAAAACGTGTGTTACTACTGTGATGTTTAAGAACGTGATGGGTGAATAAGACTGATGTCAGATTCTGACTATTGCATCAGCTCATATTTTATTTACTTTTTTCCTTGTTACCTTTAATCGGAGATATGTAATAGCTGTAAATCAAACTTTGAAATTTATGAAAAACCACAAGGCTACTGGGGACTTGTTTTGTCACGTGTTACTTGAATGTAGTTAATATCTAAGCTAAATCGAGTATAAACAGTTTAATTGCTCTGATGTAATAGTATATTGAACTCATACATACACATCATAAATAGCGGATTCGTACATTTTGACTGCATGTTGAGTATTGCGTATAAGTCAAGACAACCGTACTTGTTAGTCAGAGTTTAGGTATGAAGCGCTGCGGCGTTCACTGACGTTTCGCGCGCTCGTACTAAACAGGATGAGCCCCATCCAGAGCACCGTAGTTGTCATCGTCACTGTTTCCAAGCAACGCAAAACCTTAATGTAATGCCATTGGGTTTTTTTTTTATTTTAGCCTGCTTGTTATATTTTAGACTAACCAAAATCCCACTACTTTTTATTTTAACCATTTTCCGGTTGCCAGTAAACTAAGAGAAAAGTTATTGTAGAAATGAGTGTAAAATAGTTGTAATAGAGGTTATTAAATTGCATTGCCTGTATGACCTTCTTAGGAGGTATCCACATTATTTTATATATGTGACGGTACTTTAAAAATATATACTATGAAGATATCCCGTGGGGCTTTTGTGTGGGAGAGAGACGTAGGCTTCTTTTTTCCCAGCTGTAACTGAACGCATTGTTGTTATTGCATCACGCGGAAGAGACCAGCCCGATATTACACCAATGAAGCGCAAGCTGCTTTGAAACGACCGATCTTATCAATCGTTACAATATATTATTTAGAACACGCTATAATTTTAGTACCGGGTTTCGCTAGAAGATCTTCTTCTATCTTTTGTTCGATAAACAGCAAAGTTATCCCTCGGGTGGATGATAACACAGTAGTAGCCACGGTTACACGTGTTCCTCGGGAGAAGAATAAGCGTCCATCGCTGGGGTCCCCTGTCTCATCCTTATCCGGATCCCCTGCTTCACCCACGAATTCTTTGTTCAGCATTTCACTTCGTCCATGTCACAGGTTTGCTTTAAGTGTTTATTTCCTCAAGTGTTACTTTAGTTCCGCCAAAAACAGTCGGTGCGGAATGTGCTTTTAGTGTTGCTTAAAATGTGATATGCTACTTGTTGAACGCGCCACAATTTGATATCACTTTTTATTTATGATTCAGTTTATTTAGGAAATAAATTGTCGCCTTTATAACTAACAAAATCTCTAGTCTGTAATTAACAACCTGGGACAAAATGATGTCACCTCTGCTTTTTATTCTGTTATTTTATTTGTTGTTTTTTAATATATCAGACGTAATTTTGATAGATTACAGCTGGAAGGGTCATTTAGCTGTTTCCATATCAGATTTATATATATATATAACAAGTAGTTCACTTTCCCTCCTTCCTTCCTTACCTATGCACTTGTTTAATAACCTCATCTACATAATTATACTGTATACTTTAATTAACTTATACACGCAACAGTATACCTTTATACACGTTACAATACATTCTAGATAAATTCTCTGTCCTTGATCAACTCATATATATCAATCATATCCACAAAAGATGTTACTTCACTGTCACAAAGAAGTGAGGAATCCAGGGCGTAGGTTTGTGGACAAAACCAAGACATTTTAGAGCCTCATTATTTCCACATTGTGGACGCAGCTGACATTTTAAAAAAATGTTCTCAAGTTAATGATTTAACGCTCTTGTGGAAATATGAAAAAATATGACAAATGTCCTAAAAGAGAAAATGTGACATATGACAAAGATGCTTTGAGTGTATTAACACCAATATATTTCTGATGTCAGCCAGTAATGGAGTATTTTTGAAACATCACATAGTAAAGGATGTTAGTAAAGGATCTTTAAATACAGATGGAGAAACAACCGCTGCCAACTGAAGATGACATGACAGGAGCCGCAGTGTCAGAACTGAATGTCCAGAATGGTGAGGAGAGCCAGGACGGCTCCTCCGAACCTCCTGCCCGTGCTGGCTGGAACAGCAAAATAGAATACTTTTTGGCCCAGGTGGGATTCAGTGTTGGGCTGGGCAACGTCTGGAGGTTTCCATACCTGTGTCATCAGAATGGAGGAGGTGAGAATGCTACTTAAAGAGAGTAAAGTCATAACAGAAAAATCATCAAGTCTACATTTTATAAAGGTATATATATATTTTACCTAAATGCTGCTCCTTGTTCTACTCAGGAGCGTTCCTCCTCATTTATGTGGTGCTAATGTTGGTCGTGGGAATTCCCCTTTTCTTCCTGGAGCTCGCAGCCGGTCAGGCCATTCGACAAGGCAGCATTGGTGTGTGGAGGTACATCTCCCCCAGGCTGGCAGGGATCGGCTACTCCAGCTGTGTGGTAAGAAAGAGAAATAAAAAAAAGTATTTACATCTGAAATGAGTACAGATTGTGACTTTATTTGTGACAAATTGTATTGGTAAATGTGTTGAATGAACATGATCATCTTGTCCTCAAAGGTGTGTTTCTTTGTGGCTCTCTACTACAATGTGATCCTGGCATGGAGTCTCTTCTATCTGGGCAACTCTTTCCAGTATCCTTTACCTTGGGAACAATGTCCAGCGCCGGGAAACGCAACAGGTAAACACTGAACACGCCCAGAATTTAAACTTGTGACACACAGGAAGCAGATGTGAAATGACTTGATGTTTATTTTTTTCTATCTGAATTCACATTAAAAGAATGTGAGAAGAGCTCACCAACGTCCTACTTCTGGTACCGCAAAGCTTTGGATATAACAGACTCCATCAATGACACCGGCACATTCAACCCTTATATCACCTGCTGCCTTCTGGCAGCCTGGACCATCGTGTGCCTGGGAATGTTCAAGGGCATCAAGACCTCTGTCAAGGTAACTGTGTTCTGGGTTGTGTCTCCTCTTTGTGGGTGTTGCTTTACTAAATACTCGTAATGGGTTCCTGTTCTGTGTCTAAAATGAATTAAACTACCGCTCCAATGTTGCTGTGGTTAATCAGTGTACTACACCACATTTGCCACTTTTTAAAAACATTGACAGTGTTGTTGTTGATAAGAATTGTAAAAGTCATCATTTCTCTCACTCATTCAGGTGATGTATTTCTCCTCCATCTTCCCCTACGTTGTCCTCTTTTGCTTTCTGGTTCGAGGGCTTCTGCTGGACGGAGCCTTGGAGGGCATCTCCTACATGTTCTATCCTAAGGTACCTGCAAACTGAGTCTCTTAATGACTTTGAAGGGGATAAATGCAAAAATATAAACAGTACATTGGTTTTTTTACATTTTTTATTTTCGTTTGTTTGTAGATTAAGATGGAGGGTCTGGTCCAGGTGCTGCGACAGGCGGCCACTCAGGTTTTCTTTGCCCTGGGTCTGGGCTTTGGCTCCATTATTGCCTATTCCTCTTATAACCCCAGGAATAATAACTGCCACCGTGATGCATTCACGGTCTCTTTCATCAACTTCCTCACATCTGTGCTGGCCACTCTGGTGGTCTTTGCTGTGCTGGGCTTCCGTGCCAAAAGAAAAGTCATGGACTGTGTGTCCAGGTAGGTGAAGTATGTTGAGTTATTTGGACCTGCAGGTGGTTATCGTACTTCTAGTGGAGAAGCCGGAGGATTGAAAATTAAATATTGTAGTTTTACTTTGAAAATGACACAACGAGACATCAGAACATTACCCAGACTCTTGATCCCGCCTCATCTGTACTATTTAATATACATGATTGCTGTGTGTTCTCCTGTATTTACAGTAATCTGAAGGATCTGTCGGAGATGATTCGTAGCAGTCCCATCGACGCCACCTGGATCCCAACCTTTGACTACACCAACCCCAGCTCTGTGGATATAGCAGATTACAGAGCCTGGTTTAAGGGGAATGGACATCACATTCCTGGAAATTTAACAGACTGTGATCTGGAAAAGGAGATGCAGAAGGTCAGCAGAGGAATCACAAATAAAACAAAAACCTCCCCATTGTATGAATTTCATTCTTTCTAATCCTAATCTTGCTCTTATGCCCAGGGTGTGGAGGGCACAGGTCTGGCTTTCATCGCCTTTACAGAGGCCATGGCTCTGCTCCCTGGCAGCCCCTTCTGGTCAGCGCTGTTCTTCTTGATGCTGCTCAACCTTGGACTCAGCACCATGTTTGGAACTTTGGAAGGCATCCTGGCGCCCCTCACTGACCGCTTCAAGACCCTGGCCAACAACAAGACCAAATTGACAAGTAAATGCTTTTTCTACCCTTAAGAATATTTAAAGCAGGGGTTTTGCACTCCCAACCCACGGTTCACATGCAGCAAATAGTCCAAATCCGGCCTGTAACTAGATATAGGTAATGGTCTCATTTTGTACTTGAGAATTTTTAAAAATGTATTTTCAATTATTTTTGGCTGTGTGTTTTATGTGGTGTGTTTCTTGTTTGATCTTTTCATGAAATCCTATTTCTAAATATCAAATCCGTCATCTTCACGATGATCTGTCCTTTTCCAGTTTTCCTCTGCGTCATCGGCTTTGTGATTGGCCTGCTCTTCACACAGAACTGCGGGAACTACTTTGTCACGATGTTCGACGATTACTCTGCCACGCTGCCCCTCATCATTGTGGTGGTTTTTGAGACGTTCAGTGTGGCGTGGCTTTACGGAGCAGACAGGTGGAGTTTATTATTATCAATTATTAATTTTGTCAACTGTCATCAGTCAGCATCTGAACCATGACTCGTCCTGTTTTTAAAGGTTCCTTGACGACATTGAGTCAATGCTAGGTTGGCGTCCTCACGTGATTTACAAATATCTGTGGAAATACATCTGCCTGCTTGCCATGCTGGGTTTACTGGGGGCAACCGGCATACGCATGTTCATCCAACGACCAACTTATATGGCATGGAACCAAGAGCTGGTATGTGGAGTTTTAAGTTGTGCATAAAAAAACAACAAGCACTTATAATATGACTTAACCCTGCATTAATATAACACTACAGACATCTGTTGTTGATTCTCTTTGTGCTGGTTTGTGCATTGCAATCTGAACAGAACATTCTCAGGCTGCTCAAACGTTGAACAGCTTCAGGGAGCGCAGCCACAAGACATGTTGCTTCTTGACTAACAACTGTTGTAGGAAACACTGTTGCTGTGAACAAAGGCTTAAAGAGATTCTGTGCAAAAGCAGAGTAAAAGGTTACACAGGGAGTGACACAACTCTGGTTCAATGAAGAGAAGAGGAGCTGGAGGTTTCCTCCTCTGTGCTGCCTGTTGCCCGAAGCTCTTCATCTCTCAGCTGTTTGTAGCTGCTCCTGACACGTCACACTCACCTAAGGGTATAAAATAGCAGAGGCTCAGTGGAAAAAAGTAACTCTCTCTCAACTCCTATGTTGTTAACCACCTTTTTCATATTGTTTATTTTCCTGTACATAGGAACATAGGTGTGTATATGTATTTACATATATGTAGATATAAATATGTATTTATATGTAAACAACCGACCATGTACAGACACTTCTGAACGTATTAGGAGTTTGCTAAATGGTTCTGTGTCTTTGTTTTGTGCTCTGTGTTACCCCAGGCCTCTGAGGAGCCTCTGGAGTACCCCGGCTGGGCTCTGACCGTCCTCTCCTTACTCATCGTCTTTGCCATGATGCCCGTCCCCGTGGGTCTGGTCCACGCTCTCCTGAAAGAGAGGAGCAGACGGTTGTCCAGAGACACAGAAGCCGGTCAGTACAGCATCGTCAGCACAGACGACAAGTGTGACACCCCGATGACCGACATGACAGAACTGGACCAGAGGGACGGTAGTTCCGCCTCCTTGACCTGATCACACCTGTCCTGAGCCATGACTGAAGCACAGCTGTGTCTCACAGATACTTTCATCCTCCAAGACACTACAACGTGGGAGACAAACGTTTGTTTTTTTTTCTACTATGTAAAAATCTTTTTATTCATAATGAACAATCAGAAAAACTGAATATTTAGAAAAATATTTTGCTGTCTGTCCTCGAACGTTGCAGACAAGTTTATCAATATTTGGACAGGTTTTAATATCAGTACAGCAAGTCAGTCCTATTTAAATCAGTATTAAACCAGTTTAATTTAACTGAGCACAGTGCACAACAACAATTATTTATTCCAGTTCTCCGATTGTTAGACTTTTAATCAGCCAGACACACATTGTACATACAAAGTACTTGAGCTCAAATGTTTACAAGTCAGCACCACACTTTGAGAACCAGCAGCGTGATTCATAGTGCCTTGGCTGTAAGTAGTAAAAGAGGCTGGAGGTTGTCAGAACATCAACAGTCAGAGCCAGAAATCTTTTATTTCCACTGGAAAAATAATCACAATTACATAAGGAATACACTGCTGTTACACCAGGAACTATTTACTCCGTTACTACCAAAGGTTTACACAGACCAATATATACCGATACAAATGTCCACTGATAAACAGTTGGTTCCTTCTATGCCAGACATAATCGGCATAACAGCTGTCATGTGACTACTGTGAACGCTGAGGTGGAATTTTACGTGTTTGTAAATAAGTGTACAGTGAACCACAGGGAAGCTTTCCCCGTCTGTGACATATGAATGAATCAGATCTTATTATTTTGGATTATTACTTTTCGATCAGTTGGCTTTAAGAGGAAACGTGAGAGCTGTTGTTTCCAAATGTCTTTCATCAGATTGATGTTGTTTTAACCATATAACATATTTAAGTGTTCCACTTGTAAATATATTTTTGGCCTCATGTTCTTTACTATTGCTTTCTTGTTTGGTGTGTTTCTTTTTTTAATTTGTGAAAGACATTTTTGTAAAGGATGTTTCTATTTTGTACATTTTGGATTTATTGTTGTTGAAATGTTGTGACCTTATTCAGCCAGCTGGTTTTTTAAATCTGAAAAAACATTTAGCATGCGTTTGTCTTGTCAATCGAGTACTTCCTTTAATGCATAAATATACAGAAAATGACATAGCCCTAAAACCCTTAACCATTTAAAGTTAGTTTTATAAGAATTTGTCAAAAAGTAGCCAGTATTGCAAAAGAAGATAAGTTACCAAAAATTAGCCAAAAAATTAGCCAAGGCAGAAAATGGCTAAACTAACTTGAGGTTAGCTTGTGAATAGCTGAACTGTAGCTTCATCTGTTATCTTTTAGCCTCTCCCATTCAGGTGTGGTTACTACTGGTTGTTGTCGTCTTTGCCTGTGGCTCCACATAGAATGGCTGGCTGGGTTGTAAGTTGCTGTGAGTGCTTTTGACTGTTTCTGCATCAAGTGCCTTTAGATTTGAATGCATTTGACTGAAGCTGAAGTTGAGATCATTCCTGCATTTTCACAAGTGACCGTTTCTAACTTTTTCTAACTTTTTTTTAAAGAATCTGTATAAATTAATGGTGAAAAAAGCAAATGTGATATAATTTCACGTCTTATGTAATATATTGTCATTTTTAATTAAAGCATTTCATTGTATTTAGACGGCATGTCTGTGCTCCATCCAACAGAAAGCCTCAGTGTCTGAATGCTGACATGTTTATGATGTAAGTGGCTTTGTTTCAGCATCTCTTACAGGTGACGTGCAGAAGAGGTTTGGTACATCACCAGACACAACATCAATTGATAAGAAGCCATGGTGACCTGAACAGCTGTGAGGGACCTGCTGAGAAGCTGAAGCCTCTCTCAAGGTGAGAAGACTCAGCAGCAGCATCAAAGTTTTCTTTTATTATAGACAACATCTTGATCCCTGCTCTGATGTTGGTCAGCAGAGTGAGTGAGTGCGTGAAGGTGACCTCAGGCACCGATGTTCAAGGCCATGAAATCCAGAGGAAAGGCTAGGAACTTGATGGCGCTTCACTTCAGTCTGTTTACAACACAGGTACATGTACAACTCAGTACATGTCTTTGTTTTCCATGTCCTTGAGAGTTGTTTCTCTGCAGATTGTTCCAAAAACACCAGCCTTTGACCCACATTTAGCTCTGACAGACTAGTAGCAGAGGTAAGATCCTAGATTTGTGCCATATTACTACAATAAAAGTGACACATACTGTAGAAAGGTATCTGAATTTGAAAATCCAACACTCATTATGCCCCACCGCCCACAACGGTTAGCTAAGACAGCCGTCTATCTGCGGTAGTTGGAAAATAAAAGCAGTACCTCTAGTCTGTCAACAGGGGGCTCTGTTGTGATTGTTTTACAATTGTTTATTTTACAACGGTCATTTGATCCGATGTAATACTCGATTATGTCAGTAGATTGTGTTAGCAGCACCTTCTGTTACCTTACGTTACAACTATTAAAGGACCGTTCAACATTTGTCCATATTTTTTATTATATGAAGAGACTAAACTGGTGATTAATGAGTGTGTTCAAGTTCAGAGTCTGCTTGTGTTGGCTCATTTCTATTGTGTGTGTGTGAGGCCTTTGTCTGTGTTCCCATTGGAAACAGTTGAAACTCTGGGGAGTTGAGTCGTCTTGACTGCAGCATCACCTCACACACACACACGGAGGACACTGGCCAACACCCAGCACGAAGAAACACAACACCCCGACCTCAACATCAGGTGAAATGAAAAATCTTTTTTTTTTACTAATTTCACAAGTGTTTGCATAACTAGGTAGGGGATTATGGGTAATATTTGTTCAGAAAACGTTTAGTTAAAATAAGGTGAATTTGTCACCAGGAATAGGACTGTTTGACATGTTTGTTATAAAAAGATGACTGGAAAATGTCTTCCTTTTTAGCAAAGGATACAGGTTAAAACTACATTCATTACTAAAAGTACAGTGGTGTGAAGATGTGCTGGGAATTTAAAAATGTATTTTTGGATTTGTTAAAATATAATTATAAGGTTTTATTTTGATAATGTGGCAAAGGAGGACACCTAACGCTATATGTAGATCGACCATGTTTAGAATCAGAATAAAATCATCTTTCTTTGTTGATGTACAGTATGACCACAGTCATGTACTACAGTAAAAGGGAGCTGGAAAAGTTAGGGAGAAAGCAGAGAGGAGAGGACATGGAACGAGGGGGAGGAGAGAGAGACTAGGATAAAGAGATAAAGATAAACAACTGAACTTCTTTTCACTGCTCCAGTTCAAATACACGTACAAACAGTGATGTTTAGTACTTGTTTCTTGTTTGTGTTCAGTGGCTGTAGCAGTGGAGGAACCACATGGCAAGCCTGGCAGCTCTCTGTCTCCTCCTGGTGTTCCCACTGGGCAGCTCCCAGAACACGGTGACGGCTGAGCAGAAGCTCAAGGTCCATCATGCTCCAGCAGCAGAACCTCGTGCTCCTCCAACACACCTGAGGGACCTCCTCAGAAAGGACCAGACCAACCCCGTGGATTCACAGCGAGCATGTAGGTCTTTTTGCTTCTTCTCTGTATGGTAGTGACGTCATAGGCCGTACAGTCCTTAAGTACAGAGGACAGTGTTTATTTTCTCTGTTCTTACGCTCATTAACAACTTCTCAACATCTTACAAAGAAATGACCTGGATGACTGACAACGGGAGATGTTTGAAAGTGTAAAATGTTACCATCCACATAAGGCGCCCTCTGTTGGTCACTGTCGCTGTCTGTCTCCACAGATGTGGACAATGACACTGCCAAAGTGGGTCTGTTCATCGCCGCAGCCTTGGGAACCATCACTCTGATGGCCGCAGTTTACTGCATCTACAACAAGTTCTACACCAAAAACCAGTACCTGCACACACAGCTCCACGATGACACAGGTAGAAGGATTCTGATTGGCTGCGGTAGAATCTAATGCATGGTGATTGGGGGGTGTAAAACATTAAACTGAGTTCACTTTTTATTTGCTTCAGTCATATAAATAAATTATTTTTATCTTGACATGTGTATACACACACACACACACACACACATAGGCTAAATGTTATCTCACTCTTGTTAAGTTCTATCCTCTGGTCTTGTTTATAAAAATAAAAATAAATACAAAACAACACCAAAGGTAAATGACATGTTTTCTTCTCATCGTTCTCACCTTTCTGCCTGCAGATTTAACCACTGACCCCATGGACGCTCCCTCTGTGTTTTTTCATCCCTCTGCTAACTCCAGCGCCATAGACGTACGCAAGGCAGGTTATGGCTCACTGTCGGCCAGTGCGTCCACCATCTCTGTCCCTCCCAGTCTGTCCCCCCCTCTCTCTGCCATGCCCTTCCCTCCTCGCTTCCTCTCCTCTCACGCTCTCAGAACCATATCAGCTCAGGATCTGGAGAAGAGCTGTATCTGATAATCAGCACCTATAGTTAAGGCTTTGACACTTGTAGATAACTTTTATCACCTTCACCTGATCGTTCACCTGTTCTTGGTTATCTCTCACCTGTGTTCCTGCACCATCTTCAGTCAAACACCACGTCTCTGTGTGCATCCCATGTTTGTCATTTCTACGCATCTGTTCAAAAGTTTGCACTTTTCACCATAGCGTTCATTCTGACATTAAATAATGTCTGTTAATCCTGGGATTTAATATTAAATCCTGTGTAAAACAATAAATATATGCAATCACCATATTGACAGTGTTTGGTTTCAGTCAAACCTCATCCTCATCATAAGTGGTGGATGGCAGTGGTCGCACATTCTCTGAACTGCGTTAGTTCTTTGATCACTTCATGTTTTCCATCATCCTTTGATCTGAACACGTCCAACAAAACTCCACATATTTTGAAACACTGACCTCAATTTTAAAAACAAACTTTACTATTACTTCCTAGCCTAAAACAATTTAATATTGTTACATATTATGAATAAATATGAAATATATTGTTACATATTTCTGGTATGATTTGAGTTCAACTTTTGATATAGTTTTCTTGACATTTTTCCATTTTAATAATTCCATCATTTGGATTAGACACAAACAAAAACACAAACATCTGCCTGCTGTTATTTGTCGTTTTGTTTCTGCCATATGCAGAAACAAAAGTCGTAGGAGAGACAATTTGCATTGATTCATTATGATTAAACATGACCAATTTCAATTGTAATTAATCTACAGCTACTTTGTGTTTAATCTGAATCAAAGTTTTTACAGATGGACAGCCCTATCCCTTTAATATTTATTTATTTACATATTGATCTGAGGGCTCAGATGAGCTGCATCCTGCACAGAAACATTAGCAGTGTCCTGGGATCATCCTGCCCCGCCCTGGTTCCATAGAGCCGGCAATCTTCGATTGGACAGAGTTTACTCTGACTGCCTCCATTCACGGCTCCTGGGCTCCAAGAATAGCTGCTGCTCGAATAGTCACTACTTAAAACACCGGGCTGAGAGGAAGGAAGTGACATGCCACCTTCCACTCACACACGCACACACACACACACACACACACACACACACACTCACACTAGGAGAGATTAACGCGTAGGCAGCAGTAATCTGTTTTCAGAACCACGGACAGAGACAGCGCCTACTTGCCATGAATTCTGTCCAAAGTTTCCTCCAGATCCAAACGTGGGCTTGAGTGGACACCAGTGGGTGTGGAGAAGTTGATGAGGATCCTCAGGAACTCTGCCACGGTGGCTCCGAACATGTTTGTTCAGGTGCTTCTACAGAACAGGAGGCTGAAGACAGTTTTTATCTCACTGGAAAATCAACGTCTCTGAATACAGACCCACAGGAAGGGGCTTTGGGTGAAAAGCAGGGTTGTTTTTCCTTTTTCAAAATTTATGTGTGTGTGAGGAGCACGAGGCGGGGGAAGGAGAGGAGAAGGAGGCTGTGCGCTCAGGAGGGACAGCACTTTGGTCGGATCCTGGAGTCGTGAGGATGGAGATCCGGCCGGACAGGTTTAAGGCCGTGGCCGCCAAAACTCTGGGCAAAATATATGGGTATGTAAGATCTCTACGACAACTACACAACAAGAGCTTACCAGAGATAATAATGCTGAAGATGAATTCAAAGCCATTCATGTCAAAAAGAGTCATTTTGTGTTTTTTGAAGGACGGTGTCAAGAGCAGTTTTGCTAAAACCGGATTCACTTCATTTATTTCGGAGGGTCTCGACTACTGTTCACTTCTGACTCTTCTTTAAACCTCTGCTTCACTCAGGCTGCTCACTCTATCACATGACAAAACTCAATAGATTATTCATCACTTTTATGCAGAAAAACTGGTTTTTAAAGAAAATACATAATAATACAGAAAACTCTTTGATGAGACTGTGAATGTGCGTCTCCTTTCTCCTTTTCCTCTGAGGCACAAATAAACAGAATTAAATTTCATTCTGGATCCAAACTGCTCTATCAGTGTAAGATGAAGCCCAGGAATCAATAAATACATTCAGCTCCTGCAACACTTCATTTATTTATTTATTTATTTATTTTTGCACCGCTGTGAGGTTGTCGTGTTACAGACGCCGTGTCGACGACTTTATGTTGAGGTCGTGTGGAGACTCTGGACCTTCAGCTGATGTTCTCCACACTTCTTAATGTACAAAGAGTGTGTTTGAGCTGTGTGTCCTGTTAGCTGTGTGACACCTGCCACTGTGGGGCAGTAGAACTCTTATTCAAAACTATTCTGCGTTTGACGACTCAAACCCTCAGGTCTGAATGTGAGCCAGTCTGGAAAAGTTTAGCTTTTTCCTGTTGACGTCTCTGGAATTCCACTGCTTGAAGAAGAGTGTGTGGCACACCTTGCAGGACTGCGTGTGTGAGGTAATCAGGTCTCTGATTGGTATCTGGAAGTAAAAAGGTATTGATGGACTCCTCTTCCTCTCCTGGGATTTGATGTAGCGTCTAAACACTTAAATCCTCTCCAGGAATAGACTCTGCCCGGCCAAGCTGTCGGCCCATGTAAATCCCTGTAGGCTGCACACCTTGGTCAACCCCCGCCCCTTGTTCTCCCCACCCCCCACCCCCGTGCCCCTTCAGCCCTCACAGCTGTCATTCTATCTCATGTATATTAAAGAACCAGCAGTTTGTGCCCAGGTACTCCATGGTGTGTACTGTCACAGCTGCCATGTTTGCTCAGTGCCAGCACTGCTTCCTGCTGCTGAGACATGCACGCAACTTTTACTTACACATGGACAGTGGCGTCATACACACTGTGGGGACAGGGACATACTACTACATATTATCCACAGACGTAATACATCAATTGTCTAAATGTTTCTAATTTTTTGAGCAACTTTAGTCTTGGACCATTGATGTCTGTGCTTCAACACTAAAACCTGGCTGATTTGTTTTGAAGTAGGTAAATATATTAGACATGTGGCTAATGTACATTAGCACACTGGCTAATTTGTTTACTGTGAGAGTGGCTGCACCTCTGCAGAGATTGAACCACCTTCACCCCTCGACCTTTGACCTGTGACAAAGACAAAGAAACACATTGTTGTTTCCTTGCTCAGAGTGGACACTCAGACCTGTAACGTGTAGTGTGACCAGGGCAAAGGTCAGGTGACACACAGGGATTACAACGGATTGTCCATTAATTGAGAGGCGGTCGTGTCAAGTCAGGGAACGACTCACTAGGGTGAAAATGGTGAAGTGTTGCTGAAGAGGACAGAGATGTGCTGAGATGTGGAGCTCTGAGTCACAGGGAGATGACGATGGTTTATAACGTGTAAGGTATGAGGCTGACGACAGAGAGGAGACAGAGGGGGGAGACAAAAATAGTCAGAGAGCCAGGGGTATTAATAATTCAGGGAGAGGAATCATTAATACTTGATCAGTCTTGAAGATCGACTGCTTACAGTAACTAATAGGGAGACTGTACTCGCTCTATGTTTTATTATTGCCTCACCGTTATTTCTCAGTTTGATCAATGTCGGACATTTTTAGCTGAATTCCCCGGAACAAAAATGCGTTTGTCACTCGATACTTCAGTGTCCGTGTCTTTTTAAGCATCTGCAGGAAGGTCACAGACAAAAGAGCTAAACATCAAAGAAAAATGTTGGTTGTAAAATAAAGCTAATCAATAATATACACGTCTATATGTATATACATATAGACTTATATATGTATATATATGTTTTCTTTCTTATTTTGTTGTCAAAGATTTCACACATGTACCTTGTTAGGTGTAATCAGCTGGAGTGGTGTTTTTTGTTGTTGTTAAATTAACCCTGCAGAGTCTCTCTTTTTTTTCACCAGAGTTCTTGAGAAGAAGCAGGAGAATGGCGAGACCATCGAGCTGTCGGCGGAGGGTCGGCCGGAGCAGGTGGAGGAGAAGGAGATGCCCGTGGTGGACTGCACGTGCTTCGGTCTGCCCAGACGCTACATCATCGCCATTCTCTCTGGCATTGGCTTCTGCATCTCCTTTGGAATCAGATGTAACCTGGGCGTGGCCATCGTCAGTATGGTCAACAGCCACAAAGTCTTCAGAGACAACAAGGAGGTGATAGTGGTGAGTGAAGATCTTCTGGACTGTGGCAGCAGACGTCCTCATGGGTTTGGTGAAAGACGTCTCCTGATATCGTGTCAGTATTTCCTTCACCCTGTTGTCTTTTCCCACAGAAAGCTCAATTTGACTGGGATCCAGAAACGGTAGGAATGATCCACGGATCTTTCTTCTGGGGATACATAGTCACCCAAATTCCAGGAGGGTTCATTTGTCAAAAGTTTGCAGCAAACAGGTGTGTTGTTTCACCGCTGTCTTCTCAGTGTCACTAACACACACTCTTCTTCTGCGTATCCTAACAGCCCATCCTGTCTATTCCTCTTCCCTCCTCTAGAGTCTTTGGTTTTGCTATAGTGGCCACATCTTTCCTGAACATGCTGATACCCGCGGCGGCCCGCATGCACTTTGGCTGCGTCATACTTGTCAGGGTGTTTCAAGGACTGGTGGAGGTGCTCCACTTTGTCTTTTCTATAACTCCATCTGAAACAGAATCAAATGTATAAACAATATCATAGAAAATAATGAAGAGGAAAAGGTGGAAGTGTAATTTCTACTTTCCTCCACAGGGGGTCTCATATCCTGCCTGCCATGGTATTTGGGCAAAGTGGGCGCCACCACTGGAAAGAAGTCGTTTGGCCACAACAGCGTTCTGTGGTCAGTTTTTCTCAGAAATGTCTTTCTGACACGTTTTACTCATTGGTGTTGTGGTGTTCTAGAGCAACCACACCAAATTTCTACCAGAGTCTACTACCGTTACTGTTACTGAATTCTAAGTTTCGGTAAGCCTGTGGTGGTGTGAAAAAAAAGGAGGTATATCTATGATCTGAGTGAATGAGACTCTGGCCTACAATATTTTAAAAAATAAGTTACGATGATTTTCTTTCTCTAGGTTCTTATGCTGGTGCTGTGGTTGCCATGCCTTTGGCTGGAATCCTGGTCCAGTACTCAGGATGGTCATCGGTCTTCTATGTCTACGGTGAGTCACCTTTGACCTGTAGTCCACCAGAAGACAAAAAAAAAAAAAAACCAAACAATTTAGGTCTGTATATTTTTGTAAAAGTTGTGGACAGAACATGGGTGTGAACATGAACAAAAGCAGAAGTAACAAAAGATTGTGCAAGTGCGAATGTGACATTTGGGCTCAATGGGTATAAAGCAGCACGAGATTTAATTGAATAATATTTGTGTGCCACGTGTAGGCAAGAAAGTCCTTACAACTCTCGGTTTTGGTTGAATTTGCAACAGCATGTGTTGCACACACAAGATGATATTAAATGGGATTAGATAGATATAGATAGATAGATATACTTTATTGATCCCAGGCTGGGAAATGACAGTGTAGCAGCAGCATCACATACAGAAACAACAAAGAACAATGACGTAGTGAGAAGAAGCACAACCTGAACATATTAAGCTATAACAAAATGCAAAAAAAATGTATAAAATGTAAATATATGTAGTGCAAACCGTATTGGTAAAATGAATAGGTAGATAGATAAACTTTATTACAGTGACAGCATGATGAAATTGTATTAAAAAGTATACATAAACATTTTATTATTATTATTATTATTATTATTATTATTATTATTTTAAAAGCTAAAACAGCTAAGTTTGCTACTGCCCAGCATGTATGCTGCGTTTACAAGTCATGACGATTGTCCAACATTTATATATAACATTGTTACCTGTTGGGGCATGTCTAGTTATTTTTTAATAATAATAATAATAATACATTTTATTTCATAGGTGCCTTTCTGTCCTGAAATTACTGCATTCTTCTGTTTGCTGCTAGCATGCAAGCAACATATTGAAGACCCCGACTTATACTTATACATATACATACACATATATAAATAAAGGCTTAGATATTATTCCAGGTTTTAGACTATTTTTTTCTACACACTTCCTTTCCCATCTTTCTTTCTCTTCACCAGGAACTTTTGGGATCATGTGGTACTGCTTCTGGGTCCTGGTGTCCTATGAAAGTCCAGCAGCTCATCCTACCATCACAGAGGAGGAGAGAAAATACATCGAGGAAAGCATCGGAGAGTCGGCCCAACATTCAGTGTCTGTAAGTATTCATCAATGTTGAATGCGTCTACATTGTTGAAAACTGCACGCTAGGCTAACAAAGAGAGACCTATTTAAGAACTGTAGTGGCCCGCATGCTCGAAATCTACTCAGAGTCTATGTCCATGTCTCAAAAAGCTGTCCCTAAATTTCTCTGGAACCTTTATGGCAGTGCTGGCTTAGTGGTTAAGGAAGTGGACTTAGGTCCAGATAGTTTCAAGCTCGAGTCCATCACCTGCCAAGTTACCACTGAGGTGCTCTGTTCATGTCACCGTCCCTACTCACTGCTGCCCCCTATTCACTTTTGTGATAGGTTAAAACAGAGGTCACATTTGGTTGTGTGCAGTGGTGAGCTGTATCACACTGACAAGGAGTTCAATTTGCTTTAGGATGGAAATACATGTGGGCCAAGTGAACTCGGTTCTGTGTCCCATCATTAGGCCACACCAGCATTTCTGTGTTGTAGGGGTCATACAGTTTGCAATGTAAACCTTTTTTTTTATTTTGTTAGAAATTCAACACCCCGTGGAAGGCCTTCTTCTCCTCCATGCCTGTCTATGCCATAATTGTTGCCAACTTCTGCAGAAGCTGGACCTTCTACTTGCTCCTCATCAGCCAGCCAGCGTACTTCGAGGAGGTCTTTGGTTTCGAGATCAGCAAGGTAACAAAAACCAAACACTGGCAGTGGAATGATGGTTAACTCTGCCCTAGATAATTAAATTACATGATGCTACACGGTCACTGCTTTCTGCGTTTACTGAAAGCAGTGACTGTGTACAGTAGGTATTGCATAACAAAGTCTTCTCTGTTTTTGGTACTAGAAGGTAAATTATTTGTAATATTCTGCACAAAGAGACTTTATTTTTTGTTTGTCATCATCAGGTTGGCATAGTCTCTGCACTTCCCCATCTGGTCATGACCATAATTGTGCCTATTGGCGGCCAAATTGCTGACTATCTTCGTTCCAATCACATCATGACAACCACTAACGTCAGGAAACTCATGAACTGCGGAGGTGAGAATGTGTCGAGCAGAAAAAGAAACCACAAACATTGCATAGTAAACACAGCAGCAACTGCACAAACATTTAATGCTAACCAAGAGAAACAGTATGTAGATAAATATATAAATGAAAGTATGTAAATATATATTTATGCATGTGTATATATTCATGCTTTTATTTTATTTTATTTTATTTCAACATGCAGAACATGAAAAAAGTTACAACCCCTCTGTGGTGCCTCTGTGGATCCCTAAAGGGTCACAGACCTGGTGTTAAAAACACTGTTTCTTTAAAACAGTGTTGCAATCTTATGAATTCCTTATTTTGTCATTTGTGAGAAAGTGAGTTCTTTCTTGTTTTAATTTCTATGGCTTTTTTCAGACAAAATCACCTGGGACTGAATCAACACTTATGAAGACCTTTTTTTCTTAAACTAAATTGTAAATTCTCCCTTTCTATTTTCACTAAATTAAGGTACCGCAACATTTTAAAGACCAAATCATTTTCCCCACATTTTTCTCATCTGATGTAAAATACATAAGAAAGGCTGAACTGTTCAAAACAAAGTGTTCTTGGATTCTAATTAACAAACCCTTCGGCTAATTTGCATCATGGCAATATTAAAATGTTTGCTTCTTAAGTCGAGGGTTTATTATGAATTTAGTGGAAGTCAAACATTTTCGCAGATACATTTCTCAGAGTGAGAAATGTGTCGTGCATTAGAGAGATGATAAGTCACCGCGACGCAGAAGATCTGCATCTACGGGTCTTTTTTTAACCTCAGTAGAGAAGTGAAACACCAGTGTCCAAGCAACATATCCGTTTGTTGGTTTCTCTGTTTCCTGCACTGTTTGAGGGCAGGACATTTGTTAACAAACAAAAATAAACCCAGTAAAGTAAACATTTCTCATCTCTCTGTCAGGTTTTGGGATGGAGGCCACTCTACTGCTGGTGGTGGGCTTCTCACACACCAAGGGTGTAGCCATTACATTCCTGGTCCTGGCCGTGGGCTTCTCTGGCTTTGCTATCTCAGGTGAAAGCATGACATTCATCACAATCTCTAACTGAGCCACTTATATGTATATGTAGCTTCCGTCTCCTTGTTGCTCTTTATTACATACGTGTGGCTAAACCCAGACTGATTCAACTTTTAACCTTCTATCAACCAGTGTCCCACATACAAATGCTGGCTGGACTGTGACTTAATCCAGCTGCAAAGCACTAAAGCATAAAAAACTTAGCTTAAATTAATAATCAAGGCTACATACAAGTCCAAAAGGTTTTATAGCAAAGGGAAAAAATATCATAAAAATAACACATCCTGGATTTCAGTCTTCGGTTACTTCCTTCTTTCTGATAAACGGTCACATCGTGCTGCTTTGCATAGTCTAAGGGCTGAAATCCAGTTCCTTTAAAAAAAATCTTTCAATTTTGAGAAACAAAATCAGACAAAGCTAGCATCGAAGTTGTTGCAGAACTAAACTAATTTGACTAAAAACCTGGCATTTAATTATATTAGCACACCTCAGCACATGACAAAAGATGTAGACATGTCGTTGTACATTTTGATTCACCCTTGCATTTTAAACTTGCTCCTTCTCAAAGGCTTCAATGTGAACCACCTGGACATAGCGCCAAGGTATGCTAGTATCCTCATGGGCATCTCCAATGGTGTGGGCACCTTGTCTGGTATGGTGTGCCCTCTGATAGTCGGGGCCATGACGAAGCACAAGGTGAGTCATTTATGTACTGAACTAGGCAGACCACAGTTGGACTGTTCCCCTTTGCCTCAGTAATGCAGTGCTGTTTTAAAACATTCAAACTGTCATACATTATCACTTTCTAGCTTAGCAACATGCAACCCAGGATGCATCGCCCGCGTGATTTTCTGCTTTAACTTGTACTCAGAAAAGTACAAACCTCAGATTTACTGCAGGGTTTAAAATATTTAAAAACCAAAATGTGAAATCAAACACATTGTTTTTTCACATTTCTAACCATTTATCTTTTACTCATTCTTTATCCATAGACTCGGGAAGAATGGCAGGGAGTGTTCCTAATAGCTTCCATTGTACATTATGGAGGTGTGATCTTCTATGGTTGGTATATTCTGTCCAGTGTTGATATTATATTTCAAAGTGTCGTGTTTAGTAGACAGCTCTGTTGCAATCATTCTGCTGCAGGACTTTTTGCATCTGGAGAAAAGCAGGCTTGGGCCGAGCCTGAGCAGCTGAGTGACGAGAAGTGTGGCATCCTGGATGAAGACGAACTTGCAAATGAGACAGAGGAGCTGTACCGCACAAGTGGAGGTGCAGGCTACGGAGCGATGAACCAGGGGGGAGATCCCAATGGAGGTGGAGGAGGATGGGTCTCAGACTGGGACAAAACTGAGGAGTATGTACAACCTGTCGGAACCAATAATTACCTATATGGAGGAGAAGGGGAGCGGGATTTGACATAAGACCAGCAGATCCTTCTTTAGGTATCTAAAGTGGGACAAACCCTGCACATCAACAGTGTGAAGTTTCACACTGATGTCATGGAGAACTGTCAAAGTGAAGCTTTCACAGCTGGAGGTGGGAACGGACAGTTTTTGTTTGGTGTTTTTTGCATTACTTTAGGCCTATTACTATATCATCACAACTGGACTGAATATCAGGAGACTGCAGTGTGGAAATGCAGACAAACGTAGATGTAATATGAGTGTGACTCGCTGTGTGACAGNATATATATATATATATATATGATTATACAGGACAAAAGTTCTAGAGCTGTTTGTTAGTCTCAGTGTGGAGGAGCGTTTTAGTCGTGGTGTTCTTGGTGTGTATTCATATGTAGAGTAATCACATATACAACTGTACATACAATAAATAACAGGATTTAATTTAAATTGTACACCTCTTGGTTGTCATTCAACGTTCTAAATGTTGTACATGCCCTCTGGTCACAGGAAATGTTTGTTAATTCTGGTAAAGATTCCATGGAGCTGGAGCTGATCCTTTGTCCATACATTAGAAAGTTATAAAGTAAGATGTCAACAACAGTGACCACTAGGGGTAAATAATGGTACTACATCTAATCAGTGGAAGTGGCCAGATGTAGACAAATTTGACTTTTACTTGTGTCTGTCATCACGACAAACAAACACAAATTGATTTGCCTACAGGGAAGAGTAAAGTAAAGTAAAGTGTCAAACACCTTAGTGAGGATGACAAACAGATGAGCTTTGGATCTATGTTGACTTGGCCATGGTAATGAAATCAGCCAGATTGCTCAGGAACATCTGAACATCTGAATGACATCTCTGTTTGTCTGCTTTGGTGGATAAAGCTTGTTGTCTTGGATTTTGTTCCTCTGATGCCGTACACCACTTGCCATCGGCCCTTTAGGGGAAGCACCTTACTCAAGGGCGCACTCACGCTAGGTCCAGTTGCTCTGTGCCGCACTAAAGGCCAACCGCCCCCTCCCCTGCCACCCCGTCCCACATTACCCCAAAGGCAAGCGAGCTAGTGTTATGTTTCTTCTTACACATACGTCAGTGACTGTTGTTGATATGCGGTAAAAGCAGTGAGAGCTAATCTGACAACAACGGCTGCTTTGTGAACGATCTTCAAAAAGACCCTGAGAGTTTAACCGCGTTACCCTCATGCAGTAGATGCACTGGTGCAGAAGAGACTAAGGCAACATTACAGGCAAAAGTAACTTTTTTTTTGCCATTTTTGTGTGACCCTGTGATTTGTAATCAGTACAAATCAGATTTTTTAAAACCTCACCAGAATCAGATCCATATCTGATGTATTCCAAACCGAAGCCGGCAGGTTTCCTTATAAAAGGAATTCTCATGTATTATTCCTGTCCTGCCTATGTTAAGGTCAAATATAAAATATTTCAGTTTTAATATGCGGAAAAGTACAACATAAGGTTTTTTTGTGTGTGTCGTATTTGATGACATTTCTTCATTGTTTTGTTTTCTTTCACTAATTATTTATGTAAAAAAAATCATGTACATGTGGAAGAATTGTGTAATAAAACCTAGTATTATGTATTATTGTATTTGGATTCCATAATTAAGTAATTCCATAATTAAGTAATGAAATTACCAGAAGTTATCATTAGAGTTTTATTTTCATATTTTCTTCTTCTGCTTCTTCTTCTTCTTCTTCTTCTTCTTCTTCTTCTTCTTCTTCTTCTTCTTCTTCTTCATTTTCTTCATGTGACTTCTTCTTATTGCTGTTTCATACAGAGGTCTCAATATCAGATGATCAGGTGAGGATGTCGTACTCTGCTTGCTGTTTGTCGCCTGTTTTCCTCTGCAGGGCCTGGTATTTGTTCTCATCGTCTTTCAGGCTTTGATTGCTGCCCTCTCTACCCTTCACCCTTCTACCCTTCATCTTCTTTTCCTGACTCTACTATGAATATCAAGCTGTCCCTCAGATACTGTCACTCCCCCTCACCCTTAATCCTCATGTAAATGATTATCTGATATTTTTGACACATTTTAAATTACCAAACCGTCTAAATCTTGTTTAACCAACATTTCTATGAATCCCGACACCATTAGTGATAGACATAAGAGTTTCATATTGCAAGTGTAGGAGCATGAAAATAAATAAGAAAAATTGATTTTGACTACAGTACATCCAAACTAAGGGGAGATTCGGGGGCTTGGCACTCAGCCCTGCCAGTAAAGAGCACTAAAGCTCAGGGGCTCAGCGTCATTATATCTGAAAATCAATGGGATTATCTGGCTTTCATCTGTCGGTGAGGGAGTGAGTTTAGAAAACGTAAGGGAGACATATTCATCACAATGCCTAATAATACTGCAGTGTAACGATTGCAGCTCTGCACTCACAATGGCAATGGAAAATTAAGTATTAGAGAGATTAAAGCAATATCCATGTTGGGGCAAAGTTACACATCCAATTTTAATAATAATTACTGAAGTAGACTAAAAGTACTTGATACTCTTTTTTTCTGTCACAACTAGTAGCCGTGCATACTGTTTTGCTAACTGCTACCTTTTAATTCCTGGACTTCACCTATGGTTATATTTAATTGTCATATATCTTAATAATTTATTATGTATTGTATAAAAAAGCAAAAAAATAAAAAATAAAACACCACGTTGTTTATACACTTCCGCTTTTATTTTGAAATCCGACTTTTTACGAGTTTTACTTCCTCGTTTTGGTGCCTACGTGATTCGTTGCACTTGCGACTTTTTCTTCAGCTTATGTTGCTAACATTTTAATATTGTTTGTCCTTGTTTAGGAGTCAATATACGTCTTTTTTCATAGGTAAGTTGTCAGTGAAACCATGTGTGGTTCGAATATTTCAGTAATAAAGTCGCAAGTATTTGTTTTAGGCAGCATCAATAAGCTATCACTACTTTTACATTGTACGTTTTGTCGTATATTTAGCTTTCTTTGCGTTTGGTTTTGGCTATTACTCAAAGCACTTAATTTACAAAAGGCGAATGTACACAAATTAAAGACTAGAAATAGATTTATATTTATAGAATTAATTATTGTTATGCAAAAACAAGTTAGGTTAAATGTATTGCTAAGGCAAACGTTGGTAAAAAGAATAGAACTGCACTTAAAATCTGATTAAGGAAACACGGCTTAACCATTTAATTTACATTCTCTTATAATCATTTAAAACTTTAAGCCTCATGAAATGCTTGACTTAAACACAGATAACCAACAAACACAAATAGCTTTACAAAATGACGACCAAACATTAACATATTCATTAGCCTGCAACCCCCCCCCCCCAAAAAAAATAAAATTAAAGATGCTTTCTTTCCGCCAATACCTAAAAATACTCCACAATATTTAAAAAACCTGAATTTTGTGATTTATGTGTGATTTGGTGCAAATAGCAAATACAAAAAGCAAGAAACTTGTCCTGACACTATAAAATTTTATATTACAAATATGCAAATATAAAAATGAAATATTTTAATCTAGCTGTTTTCACCAGGCTTGATCCAGAGTGGTTACGGGTCTTGCCTTACAGCAGATTTCATTACTTGGTATGGTATGAACGCGGGTCTATATGGTTGTGTATCTCCATTTTTGACTCTGGCCTCAGGGCTGCTAGGATTGATTCCATTTGTTTTTAGAAAGTTGGTCATCCTACTAAATTATTTTGACATCTTTGGTGCACTAAATATATTCCTCTAGCCCTTTATTTTAAAAACATGGATACGCAGGATGTCCATTTACTATTCAGTGTTCTTCTCTCCCAATCCTATGGTGTGATACACCCCTGCTGCTGTTTCTTCTGTGTTCAGGCTTTGGTAGTCTCCTTCTCTCTTCTCACTACTCGTTGGGGTGAGGATGTCGTACTCTGCTTGCTGTTTGTCACCTGTTTTCCTCTGCAGTGCCTGGTATTTGTTCTCATCTTCTTTCGGGCTTTGATTGCTGCCCTCTCTCTTCTCACTACCTGTTGGGGTGAGGATGTCGTACTCTGCTTGCTGTTTGTCACCTGTTTTCCTCTGCAGTGCCTGGTATTTGTTCTCATCTTCTTTCGGGCTTTGATTGCTGCCCTCTCTCTTCTCACTACCTGTTGGGGTGAGGATGTCGTACTCTGCTTGCTGTTTGTCACCTGTTTTCCTCTGCAGTGCCTGGTATTTGTTCTCATCTTCTTTCGGGCTTTGATTGCTGCCCTCTCTCTTCTCACTTCCTGTTGGGGTGAGGATGTCGTACTCTGCTTGCTGTTTGTCGCCTGTTTTCCTCTGCAGAGCCTCGTATTTGTTTTCGCCAGCTTCTACAATTCTTAGACCCACTTCCTCGTATTCTGGTCCTTGATGGAAAGACAGGTATATTGAGTTGAGTCTGTGTACATAAAAACTTGTGAACAAAATGTGACTTTTACTTACCTGGATGGTCCTGTCTGTTCGTCTTCCAATGGTGATACAAAACTACTCCAATTATCAGGATGCCGCAAAGAATGCCACAGACGATGAGCACAATGTTCAAATTGTTGTGGCTTTTGCTGTCTGAAAACCGGAGAAACAATGACAGGTGACACTGCTCTCACAGACTGACTTCTCATTTAAGAAGTACAAACAGTATTTGGAGATTTAAAAACTCACAGACGTAGGAGCTGCTGAGAAAGGACCTTCCCGTCTTCCAAACACCTCGACATGCATAAGTGCCGCTAGATTCTGGTGTCATACCCAGACGTTTCCATCGCTGACCATTCTTGTTGTACCATTTGTAGATGTGACCAGTGGGACACAGTGGACAATAACATGACAGGCTCTGGTTTTCATACACAACAGCTTTGACAGGATGTTCTGGAAAAAAAGTTGTCCATTAGAGATTAAAACAAAATTTGAATAAAAGGCCAGGAGGAGACATTTGATACCTTCGAATAACAGTTCTTGAGGGTCAGAGGTTTTAATATAAGGAGGTCCACCGGTGCGGGCTACGTGTGTGTAGATGACTTGACATTTATATTTTCCCAGGCTTGATTCCGTCACATTAGTGATTACGTGTTGTGAACTGTGCGTGTTGGAGATAACAGCTTTATTTTTATAGAAAACGGTATTGCTGATTTGGTCTGTGCCCCAGACAAGGCACCGGAGAATCACATTCTCTCCAACCACAGCAGGCAGCGGATACATTTCCAGAGACACTTCCTTATCTGGGACAAGATGGTGGAAAACAATGAAAGGTGTTAGTGGGGAACGGGGGAGATATTCCTTCATGTTTTTGTAATAACAGATGCTATATATTCAAAGGAAGGTTGTGAATCATAATTTGTAAAGAGATTATTCACAGGTTAGTTGTGGATTAATCTAAATGAATCCTGATTAATCAATGTTCCTGAATGTGACAAGAAGATTAAACTTATTATTGCAGAAAATAAATAACAAAATGTAAATGTATGTTTCACACCTGATTATTTGTGACGAATTTGCATAATTAATATTGAAAAACGAATGGACATAAGCATTTGTAAACCAACCTGAGGTTCTGACTACGACTTGGTTGCTCCTCCCATGATTAGATCTGCTGATGCACCAGAAGATTGTCTCGGGCACAGTCAGAGCTTTAGGTTGAAAGATCACTGTGTTGTTGTTGTGTCGGACTTTGATGGTCTTCATCTCTTTTTTTTCTCTCCTGTAGACCTTACACTCCCAATCCATCAGACTTTCCTCAGTTTCCAGCTGCAGCACAACTGATTGTCCAGTCATCATAACCGGCTGGCCTGTGGCGATGGTGAGTGAGGCCATGGGGCTAGATCCTACAAAAACAAAACGAAACCCATAAAAAAAACCAAAAAAAAAAACACTTTTACTCATCAGAAAAATAAACATAGAAATATGCAAGCACAAGAAGGAAATTTACCCAAGACTTTGATTGACCGAATTTCGCTTTTTTGCCCGTTGTGCTCACACTCATAGTCCCCAGAGTGGGTATGTGAAGCGGCTGAAATTTTCCATGTTCCATTCTGGGGCTGTTCTTTACCATTAAAGTACCATTTAATAAAAGTATTTGCATCGGGCGAACAGGTCAAGTAAAGTAAATCTCCACTGAAGACTTCATGGAGTTCCGGGAACATTAAAACTAAAAAGGCAGAAAGAAAAACATTATTATTAAAAGATTATTTTATTTATTTATTTATTTTTAATAATCAATGAATGGAAGCTGTACATGGACATTATTAGCAGCTGCTTTTATCACTCACATTACCTTGCAGCCTTTGACATCTTGCCAGGTTCACAAATGCTGAAATGAGGGAAAATTTACAAGTGATTACTTAAAAAAAAGAATCATGTACTTATATCAATAAAAAAACATTAATAGACACAACATATATAATAATAATTTCCTTTTTGTTTTATTTAGATTTCTTTTTTGATTTTTGGTTCTTGTGTAAAACCACAACAGCGAGTAAAATGATTTCATGGAAAAACATCGGACCTATACCATAAAATAGTTTTTTTTTAACTTAAATTACTAAACAATAACTAAGGATTAAGAAGTGCATCATGTGCGGTCAAAATATTGCTTCCCCTAAAACATGAGAAATAAGTAAAGTTGTATAAGTATAAGTAATGTAAAGTCACTATTTCTACATATGAATCATCCATTTCTTCTTACCTGCTACCAGCAGCAGTCGCATAGTCATCATCATCATCATCATCATTCAAACACAAGGCATTGGTCCAACTGAGGTGAGAAGAAGAAGTGACCCACACTGATGACCAGCCTGATCATTTATTCTTTGTGAGCGGGTTGCTCACAGGGAGTCGGTGACAGAAGCCAGATAAGGTACAGGAACAACAGTACTAAGAGCTAGAGTTACGTGTGAAATGGAGCTAGAGAGAAGAGAGAGAATGTGAAACCACAACACACATTAGGGAAAATAAGGGAACTAAAGATTATCTGTGTCCAGGACAGTAACACTGATACAGAGAAGAAAAAGGAGAAAATCACATCACACGGATAAAGAATGCAACATTTGTGAGGCTATGAAAAGATTTCTGAATACTCTTTAGTGCTAACGCTAGATTACATTAAAAACAAAGTTTTCAAACTAATGCAGACTAAATACAAAAATACAGATAGTGTTGGGTTTTATATGATCTTTGTTCTTCACTCAAAAATGAACAACATTTTTAAAATCAAATATTTACCCAAACTTGAATGGAAACCTTTAACTTAGATGGTTTCTGTTGCCGACTTGCTTGGAAGCAACTTCCTCAACCGGGATTAATGAAGAAAGTTTTTATTTGTAACCTATAAATTAAAAAAAAATTACCATTTGACATGTATGTTTAACAAATAACCTTTTTAATTAAGAAAAGAAAGGAAAAAGAAAAAAAAACAATAAAACATAAAAACATCCTCTGTCCTGATGCCATTAGGTCATGAGAGGACATTGAAGTTAAGTTGATGAAATTGAACTTCCTTTCTTAAGAGAAAAGTTAACCAATATACTTCTTCTTCTTTAGTTTCTGTAAATGTATTTCCAAGCAAGATTACACAGATATCTCAAGCCTGTATAGATAGATGACAAGGCAGAGCAGGTCACTGTGATCAGTTTCCTGTTTCTCAGAAATCATCTGACTCAAAGTTTCACTTTGCACAAACATACAGTGCTTGTGTCAGCTGCCCACATGTAATACACAAAAACTCACAGAATGTTTAAGGTAAATGTGTCCTATTCTTAAGATTCTGATCAGTTTCATTTGACTCAACAGTGTTGATTTAAAGCCACTCAAATATTATTAAAAAAAGAAATGCATGCTAATACTAACAAAATACGTATTAGAACTAATATATAGAAGTAAAAAATACATGATTTAATAGATTTTTAAACATGGATTGGGAACAGCCAAATGTTATTTATTCAAATAAGAAAAAACAAGTATTTTTCGATATACACATTTCAAAATAGCTATGTAACAAATAGCTCAAAGTCTAGGGAAATAGTGTACGACGCTAAACTTTTGGTTCACACACCACAAATGGAATCGTCGGTATTTCAGTTACAGTACATAGATTGTCCACTAGAGTCCAGCACTGCATCACTTTCCTCTAACTTTAATGCACAGCTCTGCCCTGCAGCAGGTCTGTCTTTGCATTTCGCCATGAACTTATTCTTTCACGGAACCTTGTAAGCTTACTATTTGAACACAGAAAAAAAAAAAAAAAAATTCACATTCGAACCTTAATCTTTGTTGAAACAGATATCGGACACAAATATCAGACACTTTAGACCACACACGAACATTCTGGCACTTATTCCAACACAGCCCTTAGTCAGTTTAGTCAGGGCAAGTATATATATACTGTTTTTGGGAGGGGTATTTTTCTAATTAAATCAACTATAAAATGTTTTTCTATTGAGTTATAATTAACACTCTCCATAGTGTCAATATAACTTGAACACTATTCAGTGTTGAAAAAATATTCTGACAGTATTTATTTTTGACACTACACACTAGTGTTAGGTGAATTCAACACTTGTGTGTTAAATTTCAACTACTCAGAGTGTTCTTTCAACTCTGTCTTATTTAACTCTTTCAAAAGTGTTGTTTTAACTCAATCCAAAGTAGACTAATATAGACACTATTGTATTGTAAATTTTCTGTGCAGTGATTATATGAGTTTACATGTCATTATACAAGTGTGCATAAGCTATAGGACCCCTATACTTCTCCTTTGCCGACTGGAATAACCTTTATGTAGCCTTACTTAGATCTGAGTTGCCAGCGCTGTGTTTTTGTTTTACTCGTGTTTTTTCTCTTTTACTTTTATTCCTTGGCTTCTTCAGAAGGTTTTGCTCAAGTTCTAGTGAATTTCCTTTTCACATATTATAATAAAATCCAGGGTTGACCCTGTAGTCCCAAAGGTGATCAGCCTAAGTTTCTACTGTCAACATGTACGCGTGTCCTACATAGCTTTTGCATACTAAAGCGCGTGTCACTCCATACTTTGATTCCAACCATAGTTGTAAGACCCAATTCCAGTTCGGCTTCTAATTCACCACACGTCTCTTTTTTTTATCTCTTATCTCTTTTACACTGCTGGGGGTTTCGGCGAGCTGGCTCACACACACACCTTCACCATTGTATCATATCTCATTTTCACACATCACTCTGTCCAGTCAAACACCACTGCAACATACAGTATACAGTCAGAGCCTACTGAGAGTTTCTCATTCTGGCCAGTTTCCACAGCTGCAGCCTAATCCAATGTTTCCAATTTTGTACAAGTACACAGCGCAATGTTTATATTAATTTGGCAGCTGTTCCTGCATGCAGAGTCTAACGAGTCGGTGAGAGCAACGTCCCTACTGCCTTTTGTTCAATTTTTGGCAAGGACCTCAGTGCTAACCAGGTGAGGCTGGACGCCAGCAATGGACAAGCATGTGCATTAATAGAAGGAAAAGTTCCTACCTTGTTGCACACTTTGCACAGCTGGTCCACCCCACTGGACCGCAGACCCAAGCAATCACGTCAGGGTCACCAGTTGTATTGTAGAAAGACTTGTCTACAAATGAGGGACAACAAGGAATCTCATCTAAACATTGACCAACATTTCCCACCTTCTGATACATGCTGATCCTCTTTATAGGCGCAGACAAACATGATGTTTCATAACATTTGGCTTACATTTGGCTAGTTATCGGATAAAAATGTTCATTTCCCCAGCTTGACCAGTTCCTGTCTGCGCTTCTCTCCTGTCTTCCTGTTATTCTGAGTTGGCCCTTACTGTGTAATAAAATACATGATGTCATGTCCTGCTGCATTGACTTTTTTAAATGCCACCGGGCCTTGAGTTTGAAACTCCACATTTAGGTAACACCACCCACTGTTACTCTGTGGGTTGATTGTTTAAATGTAGAGACAAATGTACTTTTCATGGCAGAAACCCAGAGCAGCCCCTCTGTCTGTTCTTCACAGCTTCATATCCACCAATCAATATTTTTTCCCCTCCTTTCACCCGGTCTCTCTTTTACACCTTTCAGCCTGAAACCACTTTGCCCAAAGTTAAGCAAAGGCTGACTTAAAAACTGAGCAGAATAAACATTGACATCATTCTCGCTGTATCCTCCATCTGCCCATGACCCACTTTTCTGTAGTTGGCATTGACATCAGACGTATTAACACAGAAAGCAGGAGGAAAGCTGCTTCCTCACAGTAAGGACTTTGGGCAGCATAGGCAGCACAAGTACACGCGACGGTGTGGTGAATACACAACACTGAGTGTATGCTGTGACACTGGAGCACATACTTGAAGCTCTCAGAAGGTGACACATCCTATTCTTCAGGACGATAGCAGGATTTTTTTCTCCCCTTACATGTTTCTCTTCTGTAAAGTGCACTACTGCATACATTAATGCGTTTCAACAGACTTTGTTCTCCGCCCTTCTCTGGATGTTTCAGTGAAAGGCCTTGTAAAGCAGCGTCAGAACTTGTTCTGACTCAAACACTCCAGCTGCATAAATGACATCCACCAAAACAGAATAATAAAGGACCTCATCACCCACAGTATGTACTGTATATATGACACCACATGTGCATATGAAAGCATCTGATTTATAAGGTCTCATTGGCCCTGTTTCCTTTAGTGAAGCAAGATTGACACTGTTTCCTATTGGGCAGTTGTGTTCAGGTGGAGTTAGATAGATAGATGTACAGTATTGATCCAAGGCTAGGAAATTACAGCGGAAAAAAAGTTATACAGGCCGAGTTGAACTCAAGGTCTCCTGCTCAATACTAGTTTTCCAATGGACTACATTGTCATGATGGTTTATAGGGCAGTAGTGAGACCTGCTATGATGTTTGCTTCAGAGACAGCGGCTCTGCCCAATGGACAAAAGGCTAAGATGGGGATGGAGGAGATGAAATATTTCAACTTTACTCTTATGAATTTATTCTCTTTAACTTCCCTGTGAATGGTTTAATTTATTCCGGTACACAAATTACTTAATTCCTCTTTAATTACGACATCTATTCTTTTTCTTGTAGTCATACATCTGTATTCCTCTAATTTTAATACTTTATTCCTGTAAAAGTATCATTTTATTCTTGTCAACTTGGGACTTCCTAATCCTTATGGTTTTGCTCTTGTAAACGTACCACTTTGTTCTTGTAAACGTTTTATGGTTTAATTTCTTATTGCATTTCTGTAACAGGCACTTGTTGCTCATCATGATAATGCATACAGAGTCAACGAGGCTCAGTTAGGTCTTTTTATTCACAGTCTGGGCTGTTTAGATGCAACAGCACGGCATGATGAGGCAACAGAAGATTGTGCATGTGTTGTTTTTATTCAGAAACAGTTGTCTGTTCATCCACAGGTACAGTGATTTGTTGATAGTATTGGTGGTGACAACAGATCTCCCTGTCTTGATTACACCATTGTACTTTGTTTCTGGATCTTTCTTTTTTTTCAAATTTAATTTTCTTTGTGTTGAGCTATGCAAACTCAGTGTTAGTCAGCTTGACTGTACTGCCGGGCTAAAAAATGTTGGATAAACAGGCATGAAAAAATTATATATGTATTTTATTATTGAATACATTTTTGGCTTTTGGGGAATGTTGAGTAAAAAGAGCATCATTTGAACCAAGTTTCATCTAAGTAGAAAAAAGAAGCATGGACAGATCTGTGTCTGGCCCAAACTGTGTGGTGACCTGAATCCATCCAGCCAGTTTCTGTATGACAGAGAAAAATGTGAGGGTGTCCATGACCTGGGATGGATGTGATGGATGCAGTGACAGAGATAATGAGGAGGCAGTGAACAGAGGACAGAGATGGTGGAATGTGGTGGAGAAATTGGAATGCCTCAGTGAATGGTAGTAATGAAGAAAATTGGAGATAATTGAGCAGCAGCAAAAGTGACAGGCAGATGATGGTGAGTTGGTGCTAGGAGGAACTACAAAGAAAAGGAGAATGGAGAAGAGAGGGAGGGAGAGAGAGAGAGAGAGAGAGAGAGTGTGTGTGCAGCAGAGAGAATGAGGGGGAACGAGAGTGAGATGGTTGTACTGTACCAGGGCACAGAGTAGGTGAAAGTGTGTGTGTGAATGAAAAGGAGAAAAGAGTGGCTGCAAAGAACAGTAGCTCAGGCTGGTTCATACTGATGCATTTGTAAAGACGAGAAGGCATTGAAATGTGATTTTTTTTTTTTGGCAGGAGACAGAAGAGATTCAGGTTCATTTTTCCTCATCTCCATCTCTACAACACTGGGACATTTTCCCCCTGTTCTCAGTTGCTACTCTCTGGGTGTCTCATCAAGGAGGTCACTGCAGATCCAACAACAGGAACAACATGAACCCCACTGCAGACTAAAGAGGTATTTACTTTTTTAAATCTTTACCTCCTACTACTGTGATTTGTCTGTTGTCGATGCTTCTTTAAATTTAGAAAATATTTTGATAATAATAAAGTGTTCGTCAGAAATATTTGACCCCCAGAGAATAAAATGTTGGTTTGATAAAAAGTATCTGAGGGTGACAGTCTGATTTTAAAATAAGTGGGTGCTGCAGTGAAGAGCAGGAAATACAGCATTTAGTGTCTGATGTTTATGCAGGTCAGGAGGAAAAAGTAATGTGGGGCCATAGGAAAAGAAAATGGACAAATTAGATCATAGCTCCTGGAAAGAAAACCTCGTCTGACTGACTACAATACTCCGGAACAGCTCTGGACAGATTAGTGAGAGTGCACTCCTCTGCTGTAACACAGACCCTTCATTAGCTACGCTACGGCAGCTGCGATAAAAAAAAGATTATGGAGATTTGTCTTGTGGTTGTTCATATGAGTTGCTGGACGTAACATTCCACAGCAGACACGGTGGACAGTTCTGGTGGAAAAGTTAATTTCTTTAAATGAGGTTTTTCTGCTGAATCCAACACTACGGCCATAATTGAATCCCCTGGGGGACGTTAAGACCCGTTTCATGTTAATTGCTCCATGTTCATTATGGTTCACCGCTGTACATTGTATTATTGTATTACAACTGCTCCCCCATGGTTACAAAGTTAATTGATGTCCTGTTGTATACAGTAATTACTGCCTGGAAGACGGGAAAAACAGGTAAGGTTTACTTGTTATAGATCCTCGCAAACCTCAGAAGATCAGCCACTGATCAGAGGGGAAGGGAGTTTATCCATCACCCTCATGGTCTGGGTTTAAATCTTTCTGTATGCAGATCATCCAGCCGCCTGTACTGGCCCTTAGCCCAGATAAAATGTGGGGATTTCTGGAGTAAGGAGGGCATCGTGCAGGAAAGATGGAACTGTATCATAGTGCAGGTTAGCAGACAAGTGGAGCAAACTAAAAGTGATTCTTCTTTTTACTCAACTCACAAAAGGACACCTTTTTTTCCCTCAACCAGTGGAAACAGCACGTTACCTACTCTACCTGAGCCTATCTGAGCCTCAACCTGGATACATTAAATAGGTATGATAAGACAACAAGACTTTGAAATCTTAATAGTGAGGCCCCTGTTAGGCTGGATCTCCATTTCAGTATTGGGGTTACATTTTGTAATTCTGATAGGGACAAGGAAAACCTAAGAGTAGATGGAGAAAAACCCACTATATTTGACTTTTTTGACTTGAACCTCAATTGAAGCCTAAGAACATTGGGGAAGAAATGGTGAACAAACAACATGAGAACTGCGGATCCTGCAGATTCTTTACAAACCACTGATAAATTGCCAATACGTTGATATGCTATATGCCGGCTCATATAACTAGCTTTGCGTAAGCCTTTACCTACTGTACATAAACAGGCCAGCTAACAGTCTTAGATATTCTTAGATGGGTCCCCGTGTGCCATTATCTCTCCATTTCCATAATTTAATGGAAAAGTAGAGACCCGCCCCACATCAGAGGCCCAGCTTATAAAGAATACACATGCTGATTGAGCTATCTCCTATAAGAGAATATCCTAATATTCACAATTGATTTCCTACTAAAAGTTTTTAAAAGTATTAATAAATTAAAAGTGTGATTTGAATTCTAAATTTTAAATTTAAATGTACTTTCTGCCACAGTTTGTAACAAGTATCCGGTAGCTGCATCCCATTTCTTCTACACAGTCTTTGTGTTCCATTTTATGGGATTAGTTCACAGAGTAGAGGAGTTGACATGTTATTGTAAAGACACACAGACAGGAGCTCATTAACACCAACGCTTCACATGCTGCTAGAGATGCAGCAAGTCAAAGTCAGTTGTGCGGTTGTGGTGTCAGCTGGTATAAAGGTGGGACTCTCAAAAAAGGCAGAGGCAGATCAGGACACACTTCTCCGTCTGGGGGGATTTATTGTATTGAAGGTTTCTGACCATGACAGGTCCAGCAACGAATCGCATCTGAACATTCACCAACAAATCCCACCTTCTGATACCTGCTGATCCTCTTTATAGACACAAACATGACGATGTTACCTAATATTTGGCGTGACCTGATAAACATGTCAAAATATAGCAACAGCTTCTTCTTGTCAGCACATATTTCTCCACCACGATATCAACACACACACGCACGCACGCACGCACATACGCCTTAACACGTTTAATTTCAGGCTGAGTTTAAACACTTGTCACAATGTTATGTTTTACGCTGCACCACTGATGTTTATCTGCTGCACGCACTTTCACCTTCCATATAACATAATTGACTCTGCACAGTCTCCTA